AGAGCTGTTCACTGAATGTGACAGGGAGGTCATTAACGGCCTTGAGGGGAACAATCTCAGTGGATTAATAGGGATAAAAAATAAGATGATTGAGAAGTGAATGAGAATAGGGAAATGGGTACAAAGAGTATAGGTGGCTATGTAGTTCAGCTGTGAAGGGAAGAAAGAAACCTAGTGATAGTTAATTACAGACAAGGATCAAGGGAAAGTTGAGAATTCTTTTTTAAGTACACAAAATCCTTGAGCATGTGTAGATACTGAGGGGAAAATGTCAGTAGGAAAAGGAAGGTTAAAAATGAAGGAGAGGGGTGCCTGCGTGGCTCAGTGGGTTAAGCCTCTGCCTTCAGCTCAGGTCATGGTCTTGGGGTCCTGGGATCAAGCCCCGCATGGGGAATCTCTGCTTGGCAGGGAACCAGTTTCCCCCTCCCCCTCTGCCTGCCTCTCTGCCTACTTGTGATCTCTCTCTCTCTCTCAAATAAATAAAGAAAATCTGAAAAAATGAAGGAGAAAGGGGTACCTGGGTGGCTCAGTTAAGCACCTGACTTTTGCTTCAGCTCAGGTTGGGCTCTCAGGGTCCTGAGCTCGAGCCCTGAGTTGGGCTCAGGCTGAGGTCTGCTTGTCCCTCTCCCTCCGCTCTTCCCCCTGCACCTGCTCTCTCTCTCTCGAATAAATAAATAAAAATCTTTTATTATTATTTTTTTAAGATTTATTTATTTATTTATTTGACACACAGAGAGACACAGCGAGAGAGGGAACACAAGCTGGGGGAGTGGGAGAGGGAGAAGCAGGCTTCCTACAGAGCAGGGAGCCCAATGCGGCACTCGATCCCAGGACCCTGGCTCATGACCTGAGCTGAAGGCAGACGCTTAACGACTGAGCCACCCAGGCGCCCCAAAAATCTTTTTTTTTTAAATGAAGGAGAAAGGATTTGAAGACATGTGGAATAAGGTCCCAGAGTAGGAGATGGGACAGATTTAGGCGACCAATGTGTTAATTGTGAACACCTGCTATGTGTCAGGCACTGTACTTAGTGCAAAATGCAGAGAGACAAGCAACACAGCCTAGCTAGGCCCTGTGTGCACAGAGCTGATGGTAACGTGGGAAGGTGAACCTTGGACAGGCAACATGGGTGCCTCATTTACTGGGATGACAGAGATGCGAGGATGCAGCTAAGTGCATCTGGAGAGGGCCCAAGTGGTTGGTGGAATTCTCACATTACTACTGTTTTCTCTGAAGACGCATGTAGGTTCTGCTGAGATAAGGGAAGAGGTAGTAAGGAAGAAATTTGAGGAATGAGGTGGAAGTTTGAAATAACTACTTTTAAGGATTGGGAGAGGGTGATTTTCTAAGCTTAGAGACCCTGAATTTATTAAAATCTCCAATCTGTGGGACTGTGGGATTTTTCTCCACAAGACATTGAGGAGTAGAACAGAGTCATTTGGATTTGTCCTTTGAAGGAGTTCATCCCTTTCTTTCCATACCCAGTGCCGCTGTCCTTACCTGACTGCCTCTGTCCCCATATCCTCAAACACCCTATTTTCTTGCTAGTAGGTTTCCTTGTCTTCTTGCTAAAATAAAGCATTTTGACAAATAATAACATTATTCGAGAACTTAAAATAACATCCTATTCCTGTCAGATTATTTTAACCTACTCACCTTAGTGTTCCAGGCCTTCCATAATTTGTTTCCCTTTTCCCTTTCCTCTGCTTGTAACTAGTGTCTTTCTTCTTTTTTTTTTTTTAAAGATTTTATTTATTTCTTTGACACAGAGACAGATCACAAGTAGGCAGAGAGGCAGGCAGAGAGAGAGGGAGAAGCAGGCTCCCCGCTGAGCAGAGAGCCTGATGTGGGGCTCAATCCCAGGACCCCGAGATCATGACCTGAGCCGAAGGCAGAGGCTTAAACCACTGAGCCACCCAGGCGCCCAACTAGTGTCTTTCTTATATTACTTACACCCAGCCTTTTGTTATCCATGCTTCAGGCTCAATGCTTACCAAGTACAAACTTTTGTTTAAGCTATGTTACTCTTTGGAACATTTTCTCCTTTCTTTTGCACCAAGCCAACTCCCACCAAAATTCTCCCATCCCCCATGATAAAATGTATCCAACATCTTTCCTTGCAGTCATCATGAAAAAGATTTATAGTTTTTTCTTCATTTAGAAATCATACTCAACCTTTCTTTCTTTCTTCCTTTCTTGAGACTTAGTATTGCATTTTAATCATTTAGTGCATGTAAGTTTTATTTTAACTCAAATAGATGGTCATTTTCTTCCCCCCCCCCCCCCCCGAGATTTTATTTTTGGATTGCCTGGCGGGCTAGATTAGTAGAGCATGCGACTCTTGATCTCAGGGTCATGAGTTCAAGCCCCACACTGGGTGTGCAGCCTACTTAAATAATAAAAATAATTAATTAATTAAAAACAAAGTTTTCTTTTTAAAAAGATTTTACTTATTTATTTGCACACACAAAAGAGAGATAGCGAGAGAGCATGAGCAGGGAGGAGAGGGAGAAGCAGGGAGTTCAATGCAGGGCTTGATCCCAGGACCCTGGGATCATGACCTGAGCCAAAGGCAGACACTTAACCGACTGAGCCAGGTGCCCCAAAAGATTCTATTTTTAAGTAATCTCTACATTCAGTATGAGGCTTAAACCCACAACCACAAGAGTCACAAGTTCTACCTACTGAGCCAGCCAAGCACCCCAATGGCCATTTTGTTTATTTTTTCTTACCTTCGAGATTTCATTTTATTTTTAAAGATTTTATTTATTTGAGAGAGAAAGAGCAAGGACAAGCAGGAGGAGGGCAGAGGGAGAGGGAGAAGCAGACTCCCTGCTGAGCAGGTAGCCCGACAAAGGCTCCATCCCAGGGCCCCAAGACCAGGACCTGAGCCAAAGTCAAACACTTAACCGACAGCCACCCAGGCACCCCTTTCTGTGTTTGTTTCTATGAGTTAGTGGAATAGCTACTACTCTTAAACTTAAAGGGATGGCCTTATGTATGGTCACCATTTGTATAGACTGTGTGCCTGGTGACTTATGCTGGCTGGCTGGCTGGCTGGCTGGAGTTGTGGCTGTCATGGGCTGGTGGTCTTGGGGCACTCCTTCTTGGGGCTGCCCTGGTGGGAGAGTAGATGGTCATTTTTTTAAAGACTGGGACCACATCCCACAGTGGATTGTACCTGAAGTAAGTGCTTAATACTTATTGGATGGAACTGAGATTTTAGTTGGGCCCTAAAATTTTAAATAAATTACACCTCAATTGGGGCGCCTGGGTGGCTCAGTGGGTTAAGCCTCTGCCTTCGGCTCAGGTCATGATCTCAGGGTCCTGGGATCGAGCCCCGCATCGGGCTCTCTGCTCAGCAAGGAGCCTGCTTCCCTTCCTCTCTCTCTCTGCCTGCCTCTCTGCCTACTTGTGATCTCTGTCTGTCAAATAAATAAATAAAATCTTTTAAAAAAATTAAAAAAATAAAATAAAATAAAAATTACAGCTCAATCTCCATTCACTAATCTATTTAATGAGCATATAGTTGATTACCTAAGTCCTTGCTAAGAGCTGGGGAGATTTCTTTCAACCTCCAAGTGCCTCTATATTTTGAGCTGTCTTTCTCCCAAAACCTCTTTACAACCTTTAAAACACCGAATTGCCTTGGACCCAAGACCCTCTGTAATTAGCCTTGTGTAAGTATTGTTCTATTGTTTCTGACTAGTCTCACTGGTTCACCTGGTCTTCCATCTCCATGTCTCTGTGTGTGTGTGCATGTGTGTGTATGTTTATATTTCTTGGTTACTCGCTGTGAGGCTTAGCCCAGTCAGCGATGCTACCCATCCTGATCTCAGTTCAGTAAAGACTGGCCATAAGTAGCAAACCCCTGCCCCTCCTCTCCTCCAGTTCAGAGACTAGTATGTAGGAGGAGGGGAAAGGAGGTGCCCACTCAGATAAAACTATCCAAGAATGCCAGTATCTCCCAGGCCACCCACTATCCTGGGAATTTTGAGAACGTCTTTTGTCCCAGCCCCCACGCAGGGAAAAATCTAAGGAGGCAATACCAAGGTGGGAGCCAAGCAGTGCTGTCTGAAGTAGTCTCATTTTCCCTCCCTGCTGACCTTCCCAGAATCAAAGGGTCTTTATGGAGGGTGGAGATGGAGATGGAGAAGGAGCTGTTTTGCTGTCTGAAGAATCTCCAGGGCTCTCTAAAGGAAGATGGAACAACACTTATCCTGTATCTGGGGGTCAGTCAGGCTATGTGGGGTTGGGACAGCTGGTCACTTTCCCTCTTTGGAGTCTCCACCTTACTCCTCTTTCTGTGTGATTCTCTGAGTCAGTTTGTCCCAATCTCCACATCTCTCTCTTGGCTTGAGCCCCACTCACCTGTCCTCTTCCATCAACCAACAGCCTGATTGCCAGCGACCCTGGCTTCCTGGCTCCCTAGTTCCTGGCCTAGTGGCCCAAGCCCATGCTGCTTTGACAGGGTGGGAGGGGAGGAGATGATGGGGACAAGAAAAACCTCCTGGTGACATCTTCCTTTCCTTTCCCAGGCTTCAAGCCCTCAAGTGCATGCTAGGCCTCCCTTATTGGGGTCATGATGAATACAGGGAGGAGGCATGTGGGGAGACATAAGGAGGTTGAAGTAAAAACAGTAGAGAGGAGGGACAGAGGGTTGGGGCAGAGTAGAGGTTGAGGAGGGAGACTCTCAAAGCGGAAGCAGGATAGCCAAAGCCCCTGGGGAGAAAGGAGGGAGGGAAAGTCGCGCGGCTTTGACAGCTCAGCCCAGCCAAGGTCTCCGGGTTTTTCGTCTGTCGCTCCTTCCAGCTTCTCTTCCTCCCTCTCTTGTGAGATTTCTTCCCGAGGCCTCTCCATTTTAAAGCATGTGATCCCCTCCGTCCGAGTCTTAGCGACGGTCCTCGGGTCTCTCCATCTAGCGCCAGGCTTGGGTCTCAGGCTCAGCCTCCCGGCCTGGCCCTCTCGGTGGGCGGTGCTCCTTACGCTCCGCCCCCAAGAAGGACTACTGGTGGAGAGGTGTCGAGAAGGCGGTGTCCAGACAGCTTCTGAGAGCCGGACTGGTTGCGGTGACCCAGAGGCGGGCCGGAGGCGGGGCCAGTCGGGAGGCGGGCGGGGCGGCTGGGGCCCGGCCCAGAGCCCCGGGCGGTCGCATTGTTTTCCTGCGCGGAGCAGCGGCGGGAGTGGGGGCTGCGACTGGGACCCAGGACTCGCCCGACCCGACTGCGCCCGCGAGGTCAGATCCGAGCTCCATCCCATTCGGACGCTCGTCACGTCTCGCCAGAGCCCCAATCACGGATTGCAAACTCGGCGCGGTGCGGGGCCGCTGTCCGCCCGCTGCGATCTTGGTCCCGCTGACCCGGATCTCCGAGCAAGTACCCCGGAGCGGGGATGGGGTTGCAGGGAGGCGAGGAGGACCCGGGGCGCCGCAGGCTGGGGACAACCTTCCGAAGTGCGAGAGGGACCCGGGAGGGTGCCAGCGCGCTGTGTGCCTGCCTAACGGAGAGGGTCAGCGGAGGTGGGGTGCACGGAGGGAGGAGGGAACCGTGGCCGAACCCTGTCAATGCACTGTTGGGCGCAGGGTCCGGGCGCCTCTTCCCACCGGGTTTCTCCGAGCCGCGTCCTTTGCATTGCGGAGCGCGAAAGGCGATTATTTGAGGGGCGCACCGTACAGAGGGTGGAAAATCTGGTCCCTTGACTCCCCAGCAGGAAAACTAAGGCTCTGAGACCCGCGGAGAACTGGACCCTCTCGATGTCCCTACAGGGATGGGAAGGGGGACGCGTCGTTCGGACTTTGGTGTGACGCCTGCACCTCTGTCCTTGTGCAAACGGGAGTCTGAGCACCTCTCAGGGGGTTGGCTTGGGCAGAGTGGGGGAAGGGGGGCCCCCCCCAGAGAAACAACAGTCTCCATGCTCTCCTCCTTCCTTCACCCCACTCGCCCCGGGGCTTTGTTAGACCGGGGTCTCCGAAGGAGAAGAGCCTGGCTGGCGACTGCACCTTGAGCCCGAGGACCCCGCTCAGCGCTGGTCCCAGGCCTGCCCTCCTCTGTTCCCAGCCTCTGGCCCTGTTTCTCTGGCCTCGGAGACCCGCCTCCGCTCCTCAATCCCCGCTCCCATCCCCACTCTGTCTGCGCCCGCAGGCCCCTCCAGCCCCTCCTCCCGCTAACGTGGCTCTGGGACCCGGTCCCGGCCCAGACTCTGCTACCCGCCCCTCTTGGAGCCCCAGATCCAGTGAAGGGGAGACACGTCGAGCCCCTGGCCCTGGGCCCACCTTATGCCAGGGTCTAGACACCTGGATTATCCTCGTTGGGGGCTGGGTAGGAAGGAGGGTAGGTTAGGAGCCAGGGGCTGGGGGTGGGGGAAATGTCTTGGAGAAGGGAAGGCGCCTTCAGCCGGTTCCTCGAGGATTCTCGGACCGCCCCTCACCCCCTCTACCTCTCCTCTACTCCCCCAGAGGAAGGTGGACTGGGGTGGGCAACCAGCCTGAGAGCTTCCTGCTATTGTCCCCAGCCCAGTCTCCCCTTCTCCATCCCTTCCCCAGCCTCCCCTAAGACTCTGCTTATGACTCTGGCTATGACCTGGCCACTCCCCAGAGGTGGCTGCAAGGGCCAGGAGGAGAGAGAAGGGCTGTTTCCTCTCCCAGCAAAGGGAGGACCTTGGAGGGGGAGATAGAGACAGCCAGCCCCCCCCCCCCCCCCCCCCCCCCGCCATTTTCCTCAGATGGGGGATATTATGCAGCTGGGGTTGGTCCCAGCGGAGTAAGCCTTTCCCCAGGCCTGGAGTGGGATGGGGACTGCTTAGATACTGCTTCTCCAAAAACAGATATGGGAAGCCCTCTTAAAGATGTATTATACTTAAGTCTAGGGGGCCAATGCAAAGGCCAACCAAGTGTTTTCAGAGGCTGGACTAATCCAGTCTAAGTTGGGGGGTTGGGGTGCAGAGACATTGGGTGGGAGGGAGCAGGACCTGCTCTCTCAGGGAAGAAGAAAGGGGCTGGGGGTGCTTGCTATCAGAGCATTTTGCCTAGAAATGAAGAGCATGTAAATGAGATGGAAATTAGCCTCTATTGTCCCCAGCTAGGGCGCATTTGCGAAGAAGCCTGCTGGATTCTGAGGGTTTTAATGTGGGGGTGGTCATCCTGCCCCCACAAACTCTCCCAGTCAACCTTTTCCCCAGGACTGGTCATGCAATTCCAGGAGCTTCTGGCTAGGAGCCAGCCCCAGCCCCTGCCCTCACATCTTTAGGTACAAAGCGGCCAGCACCTTTGCAATCAAGCTTAATGTCAACTTCCCCCGCCCCCCACACACACACACTCTTCCAGGGCAGCACGTCCCCTACCCTGGCCTCAGTAGACTTCTGAATTTTCACATTTTCTTTTAAGGGATGTAGTAAAGAGGTGTAGCTAAGCCTCTTCCCTCCTGTCCCTCTTTCATCAGGTCAGAGGTCTCCTATTCCCCTCAAACCCCCACAGGAGTCATCACCCCAGGTAAGGAAAGGGCAGCAGCTCCTGAGGGCAGGAGATGGAAGCTGGCATGGCCTGGGAACAGGAAGAGGGTCTGGCTGTTCTCCCCACTTGCCAGAGACCAAAGTTGTTTCCTGGGTGAAGATACCAGTTGCCCAGGGCAACTTGGAGGGGGAGGATAGGAGACTGGCTGTGTCCCTTTCTCTTCCCTTGGGACCAACAGCATCCGGAAACATGGCGGGGTGGGGGGGGGGTGCGCGGGTAGGGGGGCTTGGCCTTTCAGAACCAGGGGGGTGGTTGTTTGGCGGTTGCCGGCCCGGCCCCGGGGGGGGGGGTCATCATTAGGTGTTCCTACCCCTTCCCCTCCTCCAGCCCTCTTGGGACCCCATCTGACGTCAGCCTCCCCACCAGTGACGCTGAACTGGGGGTGGGGTACACTTGGGTCCTGGCTTCAAGAGTGGAATTGGGCAGACGGAATGGGCTGGTTCTGGAAGCCCAGGGTCGCTTGTTTAGGGGACATGGCAGGATGAGCACCTAAGGATGGGTGAAGAATAGCAGTCTGTTCACAGCAAGAAAGGATTCTCACCCTTCCTGCCCTGATTTCGGAGCGGTTGAGCCCCTCACTCCAGTTCGAGGGGAAGGAGGGCAGGAAGCTGGTGTACACCTTCCACGGGGTTCCACCTGGGTCAGCTGGGGGTGGGCCATGGTGCTGATTGGTGGGAAGGACGGCTGTCTCCCGTCCCTCCGACCATATCCATCTTTTCCTGGACTTTGGGCTACCATTGCCTGCCTGTCGTTGAATTATTTATATTTCCATTTTGAGGCAGCCCGAAGAGGGAAGGAAGGGAGAGAGGGACATACATGTGCAGCCGTTTCTCCTCACCAGGACAGCCAGTTCCCTGCCTGGCTCCTCGTAGGGGGGTGGTTCTGCTCTTCCTCGGCAAGTGTGAGCACTGGTTCTTTGGAGCCAGGAGGGAACAGGGGGCTAGAGAAGCTGGGAGGGGGCACAGTGGTCGGGCAGACAGCTGCAGCCAGAGCTAAATTTAGCCTCTGATCTGGCTTTGATGCAGATTCATTTTTGGCTAAGGCAGCCCCCCACTACCACTCTCCTCCCCACCCAGCTTCTCCCCAGCAATGGGAAGATCCCTTGAACCATGAACTTAGACCAGGATGGTGACCCCTAGGTTTCCTCCCCCGACTCTGTTCTTCCTCACCCCTATCGAGGGTGATAGCTTCTTCATAGCTGCCTCTGCCTGGGCACAGTGCCTGCATGGCTCCCAGGGTGCCGCAGGGGTCTGTGAGGGAGGGGGAGGCAGACATAGTGCCCTCTTCCTCCTCCCAGTGCCAAGGAGTCACTATTTATAATTTTAAGGCTTTGGTGTCTAATTATAACTGAGAAGGGGTTAGCAAGAGGGGGGGGCCAGGAGGTGTCACCTACCGAATGTCCCAGGCCCAGTCAGGAGAGAAGAGAGGAGGCTGAGTGAGAAGGCTTGGAAGGGGAGCGGGTGTGCCCTGTCCTTACCTGGGGTCATGCCTGCAGGCCTCACACTAGCCAGTCTGGGCCAGTTGGAGAGAGAAACGCCTTGAGTGACAGTGACAGCTGGCTGGGACCGAGGCAGTGCCAGAGAAAGGGTTGTTTCCCCCAGCCCACAGGGTCTTCTGGGGATAGATCAGGGGAGCAGCCTGCCAGTGTTAAGGATGAAGGATTCAGCCCCGTCCCCACTCTTGTCTGTCTCCTTCCAGGGCTGGCATATGGGTGAGGGGGTACCCCCTGGGGCCTGAGCTGCCCCGCACAGGATGCCCCGTGCCCCCCCACTTCATGCCTTTGCTGCTTCTGCTGCTGTTGCTCTCACTTCCCCACACCCAGGCGGCCTTTCCCCAGGACCCCCTCCCTCTGCTGACCTCTGACCTGCAAGGTGAGTGACCTCGGCCCACCCCCCTGTTGTGTGAGCTCAGCACTCAAGACCCCAGCAAGGGAGGAGAGAGGGTGGGAGATAAGGTGCAGGAAGATAGACAGCGGAGGGAAGTGGAGGGGGGGCGGCACTCAAGCCCCTTGCCCATCGCTGCTGGGCCCACTTGCTGCACTCTGAGGCCACACTGTTGCGCAGGGGTTGACAGCACAGACCCAGCTAGGGGGTTGACAACCCAGCCGGACCACATACTTTAGCTGGTTTGAATCCCTGCCCAGCTGCTTGGGAGCTGCAGATCTCGGTTGAGGTGGTTCACCTTTCTTTGCCTCGGTCTCCTCATCTGCAGAATGAAGATAACAGATAGTGTTCTTCCTCATTAGAGTTATTTAGGGATTAAGTGAGGGCATCCTCGGAAAGCACCGAGAACGCTGTCTGGCACACACTCAGTGTTTTCTGTGTGTTTGCTATTATTATTAGTTACACAACGAAGGCTTGGGGCTGGTTCGGTGGTGCCCCCACACCTCTCACCTCCCTCTCCACCATCTGTGCCACAACTAAGCCGGGGTCCTGCTGTGAGGGAAACCATACACCCACTTTTTTTCTGAGAAGAAAAAACTTTATTTGCAAGTTCCTGTTATTTATGTAGGATTTTGAGTAATTCTAAGGGTGAAAGAACCACAGCTGGGTCACTGGGAGTGAGGGTTGGGGGATAACAGTAGCACTTTTGTGTGTCAGACGCTAGCCTAAGCACCTTGCAAATGCTAAGACATCAATTCCTGAACTCTGAGCTCCCTTGGAGCGCTGAAGATCTTGGTCGCCATGGTCAGGCCTATGGTCAGGCCCATGGTCAGGCCTGTGGGTGCCAGAGTGGGTCAGGGGAGGCTGGAACCAGGGAGGGCTGAGGTGGCCTCTGAAGAACCTTAAGGGCTGGGAGAAATGGAGTAAGTGCTCCAGATAGGACAGCGTGCGATGTGGGAACTAGAGAGGAGCACTCGCCACACCCCCCCCCCACTGCCCTCCCCAGAAGGAACTGAGTTCGGCTTTGGAGTCAGACAGACCTGACTTGGAACCCCAGTACCAGCCACTTCCAAGCTAATCGAGCTATGCGAATTCCTTAATGGCTCAAGGCCATAGGCTTCTCATTTGTAAAATGGGGCCACTATTAGTACTTCCTTCACAGAGCTGTATTTAAACTAGGCGGTTCTCAAGTACTAACAGGGTGGTTGGCAGAAGTTAAGTGCTCAGAGTGAGCAAGCATTATTTAATAGTTGTATTGATAGCTTTACCTCACAACTCACCTCACTCTTCCACGACGTCCACGGCTGAGCTTTGTCTTGTCGGGAAGGATACTGAGGAAGGGAGGTCTGGCTGGCCCTCATCCCCCACATCTCTATGTCTTCCAGGTACTTCCCCATTATCCTGGTTCCGGGGCCTGGAGGATGATGCTGTGGTTGCAGAACTTGGGCTGGACTTTCAGAAATTCCTGACCTTGAACCGGACCTTGCTAGTGGCTGCCCGGTAAACTGACCGTGGCACAGTTGTGGGGCCAACATGCATGCTCCTGAGCAGCCATGGGACCTGCATGGCCACTGCAGTATCTTGCAGGGGACACATGCAGGTGTACAAGCCATGGGACATGGACATGCTTGGACCCAGGGCACAAATGCCAAGGCATGGAGTAAGGGGGAGGACAGAGGGCAGGAGATCTGCGCTGTTTGTCTCTGAGCTGCTACACCTGAGCAGGGTGGGTGCTAAGGAGCTCAGGTGGGGTGCCTTGGCTTGGCTCTGATCCTTCCTTACCTGTCCCTTCAGGGATCACGTTTTCTCCTTCGATCTTCAAGCTCAGGAAGAAGGAACAGGGCTGGTGCCCAACAAGGTGAGGGGCGTGTGGGAGGAGGTGCAGGCCTGGAGATGAGGCTGGGAGTGGTCCGGTGGGGATAAAGCAGGGGGGGACGAGGACTCCAAAAGGAGCCATAATGTGAGGGGATCTCCAGGTTGCCCCATGATGTTCCCTCCTTTACTTGTCCCTTCAGTATCTGACATGGCGGAGTCAAGACATGGAGAACTGTGCTGTACGGGGAAAGCTGACGGTGAGGAGTGGGATGAGAATTCCGAGGGGAGAATTTCCTGCCTCCAGGCTCTGTCCGAGCGGTCCTGCACTGTGCCCGCTTTCCCACCCACTTCCATCTCAGGCCATAGGGGAAATGTGCAGGAAAGGGAATGAATGATTTTCACCTTCCTTCCCGGAAAAGTGAGGCTCCAGCAGGCCCAAGAATTTGCCTGAGGTTGTGGGGCAGTGATTAGCTTACTTGGGACTTTACCCACATTGCTATGACTGGCTGCAGGGAGGCGGCCTTAACGTCCTGGGCCCCCTGTCCCAATCCTACGGACTCCTGTTGCTGACCTAGAATTTTGGATTCTCTAGGACGAGTGCCACAACTACATTCGTGTTCTTGTTCCCTGGGACTCTCAGACACTCCTTGCCTGTGGAACGAATTCATTCAGCCCCGTGTGCCGCAGCTATGGGGTACAAAGGCGGAGGCGGGTGGCAGCGAGGTCAGGATGGGAGTGGGAAGAGAACCCAAGATGGGCGACCAGTTTGGTGGGGACAGGCCAGCCACGGTGGAGGATTGGGAGTGCCGAGCGCAAGGGTACAGAAGGGGTGGGGGAAAGAGGCAAAGGGACATGAGGGAGTGGGCTGTGGAGCCAGACTCCAAGACACCAAGGATTCCAAGAACCTGCTTCCTCTGCCTCCAGATAACTTCGCTGCAGCAGGAGGGTGAAGAGCTGAGTGGACAGGCTCGATGCCCCTTTGATGCCACCCAGTCCAACGTGGCTGTCTTTGCAGGTGTGCACCTAGGCATGTAAGAAGCGGGCCTGTGGCAGGAGGGGGCTCCGGCCTTAGCCTTTCTTCCAATTTGATCTTTGCCCATGCTCCCGAGTGCAGGGTTGAGCTGGGGGCAGGGTCAGGCTGAGGGAGACCCAAGCCTTGGGTTAGGCAACCCCAGAAGAGCCAGATCCTTAGGCCCTCACCTGACCCCACCCTACCCACCCCTCCAGAGGGCAGCCTTTACTCAGCCACGGCTGCGGACTTCCAGGCCAGTGATGCTGTAGTTTACAGAAGCCTCGGGCCTCAGCCCCCACTCCGCTCCGCCAAGTACGACTCCAAGTGGCTCAGAGGTCAGGGCCGGGCCTGGGGGAGGTTGGCTGCTCATGGGGAGGAGGTGCAGGGGGAGGACTGTGGCAGGGAGCGGGCAGATGGCCGCTGGTACGGTTCCTGTATGCCAAGGCAAGAGGCTGCGTGGGGCTGGGCGTTTCTGAGCATACCATTCCGTTTCCCCTTTCAGAGCCACACTTTGTCCATGCCTTGGAGCATGGAGACCATGTCTACTTCTTTTTCCGGGAGGTCTCTGTGGAGGATGCCCGGCTGGGAAGGGTAAGGAGGTGGGCCCCAGTGGGGGTAGCTAGAGGGTTCTGCTTGATCCTGAGGAGCCAGTCAGAGTCAGGGGAGAGCTGCTGGACCTCATGTCCACCACACAATCCCCTGGACTCTGAGCCCCAACTTGGAGTTGCCCCCACATCCTGCTGTGTCCCTCATCCTTGACCCAGTCTGATCTACCACACTATACCCTTGCTTTGCTGTGGCCCTGGCGTCTGTCCCTTGGTGCTCCCAGATACCCCCAACACCCGCACCCTGCCCCACTGGCCCTGAGGCCCTCACTGTTCTCCGCATCCCCTGCTCTCCTACCCCAGGTACAGTTCTCCCGAGTTGCCCGTGTGTGTAAGCGTGACATGGGTGGCTCGCCTCGGGCCTTGGACCGCCACTGGACATCCTTCCTGAAGCTGAGGCTCAACTGCTCTGTCCCTGGGGACTCTACCTTCTATTTTGACGTCTTACAGGCCTTAACTGGGCCTGTGGACTTGTATGGCCGCTCCGCTCTCTTTGGGGTCTTCACCACCCAGACCAATAGGTTAGTACTAGACTAACCAATGTGGTCCAATCTGTCCTTGTCCCACCAGCGTCTAAGCTCCCCTCTCAAAGCCTCCCGATGCCCCTACCTGGAGGGGAAACTCCCTTCAAAGCCAGCTCGCTGTTCTGACCTTCTTTCTCCCAGCATGGCCCCCAGGGGGCCTGCCTCGCCCTCTCAGGCTCCGCCCCCTAACATGGTGCTTAAGGTTAGCTGCCGTCTCACCTGGGAGGAGCTGTGTGATCCCTTCCAACACCTAGCCCGCATCTTTTTCTGGCTCCTTCAGCATCCCTGGCTCTGCGGTCTGTGCCTTCTACCTGGATGATATCGAGCATGGGTTTGAGGGCAAGTTCAAAGAGCAGAGGAGTCTGGATGGGGCCTGGACACCTGTATCTGAGGACAGGGTTCCCTCCCCCAGGTACCCAGGATGAGAGTGGTTTTTTTGGGGTCGGGGCAGAAGCAAGCAGCGAGTTCCCACATGGGATTATGAAGAGAGGGTCTGTGGGATTATGGGGAGAGGGCTTAGCGGACTGGCATGGGACTGGTGAGCTGCAGAGAAGGGGGAAGCGGTAGTGTGAACATCTGTGTGAAGGGAGAGAGCAAGGGTTACCGATCGTATCTGAGAGCAGTTGGTGGGGGGCACAGAGCCTAACTGAACCCTGGCTCCCTGTCCTAATGCTGCCCCTTCCCATGTGCCTCCCAGGCCAGGATCCTGTGCCGGAGTCGGTGTGGCTGCCTTGTTCCCCTCCTCTCGAGACCTACCCGATGATGTCCTGACCTTCATCAAGGCTCACCCGCTGCTGGACCCCGCTGTGCCACCGGCCACCCATCAGCCTCTGCTCACCCTCACCAGCAGGTATGCCACTAAAAGAACAACTGCTGACCAACCCCCATGCCCCAGCCATTCTCCTCTGACCTCACACGGGTCAGTCACATTGGTGAGAGGAAGAACCCAAGAACATGGAGGGAGAGAGGTATGAAGGAATGTCTGGGAGGGGGGAAGGACCCAGGAGTGCGTACCAGGATACATGGACTGTCCTTGAGACACTCCGGATTCCACCAGTCGGGGGGCCCTGACTGAGGCCTGTCCCTCCAGGGCCCTACTGACCCAGTTAGCTGTGGATGGTAGGGCTGGTCCCTACAGGAACACCACAGTCCTATTCCTGGGCTCCAATGATGGGACCGTGCTGAAGGTGCTGCCCCCGGGGGGGGCCCTCTGGAGGACGTGAGCCCATCCTGCTGGAGGAAATCAATGCCTACAGCCCCTTCAGGTGAGGCCTTGGTCTGGCAGTGCTCCCCGCCCCCCATCATCACCCTGCAGAGCAGGAATGGGAAGTGAGCTGGTAGACTGGGATGTGGGGATGTGGTGGGGACTCCAACGCAGGCTTCCACGTGGCCGAAGCTATAGGGTAGAGGGGTTTGGTAAGAAGCTAGATAGTGTGGTGGGGCAACACTGGGAGTTGTAGTTTTGGGCACCTCCCCATCTTCTGTTCTTTAACTGACCCAGGGAGAATGGAGCCTCCCCTGCCCCTTCTCTGATTCCTTCCTGCCTCATCCTAGATGCAGTGGGAAGCGGGCCGCCCAAACAGCACGGCGGGTCATAGGGCTGGAGCTGGACACTGAAGGTCACAGGCTCTTTGTGGCTTTTTCTGGCTGCATCATCTACCTCCCTCTCAGCCGGTGTGCCCGGCACGGGGCCTGTCGGAGGTGAGAGGGGCCTGACCCCCCCCAGGGCCAACAGGAGCCTGGGAACACAGGCATGGGGGAAGGTGCGGCAGGGAAATGCAGGGGGTGGTTGGGAGGGAAGGGTGCGCCGGGCATTGTGCAGGTGGGCAATGCCCAGGGCCTAGAACAGGCATTGGGACAGGACAAGATGGGAACATGGGGCCAGGGGCCTCCTGCAGGCCAGGGTGAGAGCTGGAAGGGCAGGGCCATGGGATGGGATTAGAGCGGTGAGACTCATATGACTCCGTTTCCCCAGGAGCTGCCTGGCTTCTCAGGACCCATACTGTGGATGGCACAGCTCCAGAGGCTGTGTGGATATCAGGGGACCTGGTGGGTAAGTGAGGGGCCCCCAAATCTCCTGAGGAGAAAGTTCTGTTTGCCCCACTCAATGAAGCAGCTCAGGGCCAGGGTGGAGGCTGGGGGCAAGATATGTAACCACCCTATGCTACCTCCGTCTCCTGCTAGGACTGATGTGGACCCAGCTGGGAACCAGGAATTCACGGAGCACGGCGACTGCCAAGGTAAAGAGGGCTGGGACAGCCATAGCCATAGCTGCACAAGGCTGTGACGGCCATCAGCTACAGCCCAGGTGTGGGCTTACGTACTTGTGTGGCAGTCGCCCCCTTCGGTTCTTCATGAAGCTACCACCCCCCCCCAATCGTCACTCTCTGCCTTCCTTCTTCATAGATGGAGCTACTGGGAGTCAGTCTGGCACAGGGGATTCTGCTTATGGTGAGTCTGCCTATCCCAACGCCATCTTCCCTTGCCTGGCCCCCACGCACCCACGTCTGTGCTCCATGGCGGCAGCAGACAGCTGCCCACACACACTAGGTCTCAGATGAGGGCTGGCATCCTCCAAACAGCCCGCATAGAGCTTGGTGCTTGGCACACAGTAGGGTGCTTAATAAATAGTTTTTGAAAAAAATACATGAAAGAATGTCCTGCATGGTGAGCCTTTCCCCATGCCCAGAGGAAAGTAGAGGCTGGAGTTCTGGACCTTTGGGTTCCAAAGTGGGGGCAGGGGTGGGGAGGACCCACTGAACGGGTGTCAGAGGTAAAAAACAGGAGCCTCATTGGCTCTGACCTGGTCTCTGTCACCAGTGCTTCTGGGTCCTGGCCCTTCCCCTGAGACCCCCAGCCCCCCCAGTGATGCCCACCCCTGGCCCCAGTCTTCCACTCTTGGAGCTCACACTCAGGGTAAGGGGGCTGGCTGGGAGGGATAGGAGTGAAGTATGGGGCTGGTGAGTCTTGAAGAATTCTAAGCCCCTCACTGACGCGTTTGGTGCTCACTAATGCCTGTTTGGAGCTTCCTCTCCCCAGAGCTGGGCTGCTCAGACCCACCGCCTTCTGCACTGGCAGTTTGGAACTGGCTCTTGGCATGGCTACAGGGCCGGGAGCTGGGATGGGTACTCCCCAGGCCCAAGCCCTAGCCTGTGTGTGATGTCTAGTGTGGTGGACTGACTGTGTGTTGAGCGCGGGGGGGGGGGGGGGCGAGGGGGGGAGTGTCATTATGAGGACGGTCAGCCCGTGCTGGAGTGAAGCTGAGCAGCAGCAGCAGAGAGGTGAAACTCGAACTTGCCCTCCATGCCCACCTACCTTGGCTGAGCCTCCCTCCTCCCCTCTCGGTCAGCAGGCGTGCGCCGGGACCTCCCCCCAGCCTCAGCCTCCCTCTCCGTCCCCATCCCACTCCTCCTGGCCTGTGCTGCTGCAGCCTTCGCCCTGGGAGCCTCAGTCTCTGGCCTCCTGGTCTCCTGCGCCTGTCGCCGAGCCCACAGACGTCGGAGCAAGGACGTCGAGACTCCGGGGCTCCCGCGCCCTCTCTCCCTTCGCAGCCTGGCCCGGCTGCACGGGGCGGGCCCAGAGCTGCCGCCCAAGGACGGAGACGCGGCGCAGGTGCCCCAGCTCTACACCACCTTCCTGCCTCCCCCCGACGGCGTAGCCCCGCCGGAGGTGGCCTGCCTGCCCACGCCGGAGTCCACGCCCGAGCTGCCCGTCAAGCACCTACGCCACGCTGGGGGGCCCTGGGAGTGGAACCAGAATGGGAACAACGCCAAGGAGGGCCCCGGCCGCGCGCGGGGCGGAAGCGCAGCGGGAGGGCCAGCGCCGCGAGTGCTGGTGAGGCCACCACCGCCTGGCTGTCCCGGGCAGGCCGTGGAAGTCACCACCCTGGAAGAACTGCTGCGCTACCTGCACGGCCCGCAGCCGTCCAGGAAAGGGGCCGAGGCCCCGGCGGTGGCAGCGTTGACCTCGCGGGCGCTCCCACCAGAGCGGGTTCCCACCCCCGCCCCCTCCCTCTTTGCGGGCTCCAGCCTCCTCCCCCGGGAGTGCGGACCGCCTCTGAGGCTGGACGTGCCCCCCGAGGGGAAGTGTGCTGCGCCGTCCACCCGGCCCGCCCTCTCCGCCCCTGCTCCCCGGCTAGGGGTCGGAAGCAGTCGGAGGATGCCCTTCCCCACGCACCGGGCGCCCCCCGCCCTGCTCACTCGGGTCCCCTCGGGGGGGCCCTCCAGGTACTGCGGGGGTCCCGGGAGACATCTCCTGTACCTGGGCCGGCCGGAGGGGTATCGGGGCCGCGCTCTGAAGAGGGTAGACGTCGAAAAACCCCAGCTGCCCCCGAAGCCTCCCCTCGTCTCGCCCTCTTCCCAGCCGGCTGTCCCCAACGGCAGCCATTTTAACTTTTAAAAGGGAGCTGAGCCACGTCTTCGGATGGCGCCCTTGAAGCCCGTGCCCTCAAAGGCCAAGAGCGTGGACTCATCTCCAAGGACAGAGGCCCTCCTTCTCTCCGTGTTCCACACCTCCAGCCTTCCTGGACTCTGAGAGTCTCCCGGGGTCCCAGCCCGCCTCGGGTTTATTTATTGACGTCTTTCCCCCTGTCCTCGAGAGAGGAGTGGGAGGTGAGAAGCTCGCCCCCTCAGTGAACCAGCTTTTCGGGGGGAACTGGCGCACTCCCACTCCCCCCTCCCTCAGCCAAGCTGCCTTAACTCGCCCCTCCGGGCTTCCTCCATAGACAGGGCCGCGGGCGGGCCGCAGGGCGGATGGACAGACCGACGGGGCTGGGGCCGCGCGCGCGTTTGTGTACAGATTCCTCGGGCCTCCCGGGACGTGCCTCCTCCTACTGTGTAGGAGCCTCCGCTTCCCAATACAGCTGTGTCCCCGAGCCGTGCCTGACTTTTCCTAGCGGAGGGGGCGGGGCGGGAACCGGTCCGCTCGCTAGGCGCCTCTGCCCCCGAATCTCTGCCTTCATCTTGGCCTTGCATTCTCTCCCGAGTAATTGGGATGGCTGCGGTCCCACCGGGGTTAATCAGGAAAGGTTTCCTGAAGGAGGCAAGCGAAGAAATGGTGTGTGGAGATGAACCAGGGCCCAGGAGACCCACGGCAGAACTTAGGTGGGGTAGGGAGGGCACTGGAGCACGTTTCTGGATCAAAGATGTTTTCATAGCCTGTTCCACGGGGGTGGGGGAGGGTATTTTTTGAGAAATAAAATGAAGCTGCAGCGCAAGTGGTTTAAGTTTCACAACAGGAAATCTCGTCCTAAAGAATTTGGAGTGTAGGTCGCAGGATGGATAGGCTGCAAAGAACGGCAGAGGATTCGGCCCTGTTGGTGGTAGGGTCTAGCCTTGGTAGTTCCCTAAGGAGCAGTTAGTTCCCTTTCTCAGAGCGGGAGGGGGCGTAGGAGCGCGTGTTTCCTTGTACGCATGCGTAACCTCTTGTCTCGGAGTCTCCGGCTGCGCTCCAGCCCGGCGCTCGGAGGATCAACTAGCGAGCCGCGAGCGTCTGTTCTGTCGTTCTCTGGGTGGAGCTGGCTGAAGATACCTGTCTGTTATCCCGGGAACCAATGGGAGGGGTGGACAGGATCATCTGCCGGCGCCGCCCACTACCTCGAGTTTAAGGACACTTAAAGCCTCACGCGGGCGGTGGCTGCTTTTGCGGATTTACAGGTCCGGGTTTTTACCGGCGCGTGGCCCGAGTATCCGCTCAGTTGGAGCCTTAGGTCGCCGTCGCACTGGCGCCGCCTGGAGGCCGCCCCAAGCCCCGCAGCTAAGGAAGCCTTGGCAGTCCCCTTTCCCCGTTCGCCATAGGACTGCCTTGAATAAGAAACCCCTGAAAACAATTTGGTGAAGAACCGTGATTGTGTCTAGCTCCGCCCTTTACTTCCTGTAATCCTGACAAGTCAGAACTTTGCCCTAAACCTCAATTTCCTCATCTGAAAAATGGGGTTGAGAGGCTCAAGTAATTATAATGTATGTAAAAATGTTTTTAAAGGAGAAAGCATGGTACCTTGTGAGATGATGATTCCTCCAAACCCATGCTTAGGCGTCCTAACTTTGCGATCTTCTACCAAGCAATCTGTTTCCTTTTGTAACCTTAGGATCTTCACTTAACAGGTTTTACCCTCAAAATGTTTTTTAAAATCGCCCTCTGAACTTTCCTCACACCTTGTTCTGCCCAATTTGTTGCCTCTGCTTGGAGCTTGTTTCCCCAGGTTGAGAGGTCCTTTAGGTCTTAGTTTCCCCCTCTTTGGATGTCTTACTTAAACCAAGATGCCTTAAAACCGTTGCTAGTTTCCTAGATAGTGAAGGAGAGCAAGGAAGGAGTGGAGCAACTCTCCAGTCACCTACTTTCATTATCCTCTTCAAACCAAGGTGTTGAAGTCAAGACAAAGAAAAATATTAGGGCTGCTGCCGTTCTCAGCCTTCTGAGGGACAAGTCTCACAAATACTTCAGTTCTTGCCCTGCAGGTGGTCACAACAAAGGGGTAAAAATGATCATTAGGTTGTTTTGTTGTTGTTGTTGTTTTAAAGATTTTATTTATTTATTTTACAGAGAGAGACAGCCAGAGAGGGAACAAAGCAGGGGGAGTGGGAGAGGGAGAAGCAGGCTTCCCGCTGAGCAGGGAACCCAATGTGAGGCTTGATCCCAGGCCAGGACTCTCAGATCCTAACGGATCCTGACTTGAGCGGAAGGCAGACGCCTAACGACTGAGCCATCCAGGCGCCCCATCTTTACGTTTAAATATAGACTCAAAAGAGAAGTTAATCTTTTGACTTGGTGCAGGCAACAGCAATTTACAGGTTAAAGTCCTTGTTTCATTTTAATCAAGAAGGGTGATCATTTACAAAGTATGGTGACTTCTCTAGCCAAGGGAGCCTAAGCTGGACTCAGAACCTTCTCAGTTCTAGTGAAAGCAGCTATGTTGCAGTGAGAGCAACAGTCCTTGGACTCTGCCACTTAACAGTTTTGTGTGGGACTAACTTCTCTGTGCCTCGATTTCTTTTGTAAAGCATGTAAAGGATCTATGCCAACAGGAGGTCATAAAGCACCATATAAATATATAGGTTTAAATTAAGTGCTTTGTAGGCAAAGGTTATTTGCCCAAAATAGACTGCTATGAAGTACGCAATTCAATAATACTCATGAAATATCTCATCCTGGTAGAGAGTAGTGAATAATAAACTAAGGGAGTGAATTCAAAGAAATTATTGTCCCTGACAACAGAGGGATAAACATGACTCCTTAATTTAAGGATACTTAAATAGTTAAGGATACTGTTGATACTTTTTTTTTTTTTTTAATTAGGGTATTAGCTCAAACTTTGTCTTTAGAAAAACCTGCGTGTGCCAACAAGAGGATAAAGTCCTCACCCTTAGGGATTTCTAAGCTGATTTCTCAGAGGCATCCTGGGAGGTTATGGAGAAACCAGGGCCCCAGTGGGCAGAGTCCATCAGCTTGTGTAAGACTTTAGGGATCTGAAACACAGAAGGTTCCACAGTCACAAAGCTTGAAAAGCTGTTTAGCGTCTTGGGTTCTTTGGGAGGTAAGTCACAGGGGCCTGAGCTATTATTGTCTCTCAAATTTATGTCTCCTTGATGCCACTACCCCACACTTGGGAACCACACAGGTATGAGTCACTTTCTGCTACTTAATCCAGTAGCTGACCTTCGGATATGTTGACTCATAAGAATTTAAGGTTACATATATGAGAGTAAGGTTGAAGTACATGGATAAAATATAAAGCCTATGAATCCAAAAAGACTGCCTACTTTTACCACATGTATTAAGGTCCCAATAGGAAAACAGACAACATGCTCAAAATAATGAAGGGCTGATTTTAAAAAGTATGGGCAAAGGACAGGTCAGTAACTGGAGGCGAGTAAGAGCCTCAGGCCTGAAAAGACAAAGGGAGATAGTGGGTATTTGGAATTGGAAGGAAAGGCTGCACTGAGAGGAGCAGTGACCTTTAATCAAAGGATACTTGAGAAATCCATATACTGATTCCAGTTTTTTCTCTCCCTCCTCTCCTTCCAGAGGCCCCTGTTGGTGGAATCAAAGTAGAAGCCAAAGTGCAGGGAGCCCATTTGATGAACTTCATGCAGGTTAGTTCCCAGGATAGAGAAAAAGATATAGAGAGAGGAGTATGATCTGGAAGGAAAGACAGAAGCTATCCAGCATACCTAGAGCTGAAGACTGCATCCATTTTCTGCAAGAGGGCTTATCTTTGACTCTCCTTGGTCAAGTATTGCTGGCCAGCAACTTTGTGGAGATGCATCCTGAATCAGTTTTGGAGCAAAACTGACTTTAAGGAGTTTGCAAAAAAGCTGCTTGAAGTTACATCACTGCAGTTTCTTAACCTGCCCAAAGTCAAGTAAGATCATATTCCAATGAAAGGACAAACTACAGCAGAACACCAAAAACTATGTAGAAACTGTAGTTTTAGAAAGAACAATTTTTTTTTTTTTTTTTTTAAAGCTGAGGGGCTCTGGGTAGTCACAACCTGAGCAAAAGTGAGAAAGATCACAGAATCTATAGTCTGCAGATAATACATACCTTGCAAGATAGGTATGTTAGTGTATATTTGAAATGCCTAGCTCAATGCCAGACATGTAACAAAACTTTACTGCATAGAGAGGTACCTGGCTGGCTCAGTCAGTAGAGCATGTGACTCTTGATCTCAAATCATGAGTTCAAGTCCCACATTAGGTGAAAAGCTTACTTAAGCAAAAAAAATACCCCTTTAGGCATAGAAGCTACTGTTATTATTTATAAAATTGGCTTCTCAAATATCACTTTCCTTTACAGTAAGAACTTCTTCAAACTTTAGGACTGGCTACGTTAGCAGAGTGCAGCTCCACACCTTGTTCAGGGGTCCTTTACAGTCTTCTTAAAAAAACATTTAAAAAAAAAAAGATTTTATTTATTTGAGAGAGAGCAAAAGTGAGAAAGATCACAGAGGGAGATGGAGAAGCAGACTCACCGCTGAGTGGACAGCCTGTCGTGGGGCTCAATCCCAGGACCCTGGGATCATGACCTGAGCTGAAGGCAGACTCTTAACAGACTGAGCCACCCAAGTACTCCTCCAAAACATTTTTATAACACATATATTTAAAGTGTCTACTGGAGGGGCACCTGGGTGGCTCAGTCCGTTAAGCGGCTACCTTCGGGTCAGGTCATGATCCCAGGGTCCTGGGATCGAGCCCCGCATCCGGCTCCCTGCTCAGCAGAGAGCCTGCTTCTCCCTCTCCTTCTGCCTGCCACTCTACTTGTGCTCTCTATCTCTCTGTAAAAAAAATAATAAAGTGTCTACTGGACATTACTATTAATTTCCCAGTTACCTAGTTCCATTTTTTTTTTAAGGTTTCCCCTATAGTCTTAACAGACTTAATCTAAAACCTATCAGATATCTTACACAAACCCTACACAGGTCTGTGGTTATCACTAAGTTGCTCCCATTTCAACCTTCTCTTGTATTTTCTACCTACTGATTTCTTTGGAGTAAAGGGCTCATTTTCACAGAGGAAATCTTGGGAAAGTTGCCCTCATTCATGTTTCTTTCCCAGCGTTTAAGAAGATCACCCTTCAGAGAACTATAAGTTCCTATCTCCCCACTCCCTTCCAACTTTCCCACATTCCTAATGATTTCTCTCACTAGGATTTTAATTCAGTAAGACTTTTAGTTGTTTCTCAAGCCTCCTCAAGTCCTTGCTCTTTTTCTCTTTTCTTTGCCTGCTCTTTTTCTCTCAGGAGAACAAAAGACCATATATGCATTTATGAGGTACTCTGTCAGATGTACCTTAAAATTAATATGTATACTGGATTTTTTTATTATATGTATTTACCAAAAAGCAATTATCTATATGCAGCCTAGTACATGGTAAGCGTTCAATTTCCTAAATACTGACCTGGGAGATTCTAGTTGCTGAACACAGATGCTTATATGTCTTTGACTTTGGTAATACCATCCTTTACTTAAGAAAGGCATCCTTATTGCCAGTGGAGCAGCTTTTGAGAACACTATACCCTGGATGGGGATCCCGTCTAGTCAGCTAGATGGGTCTCTTCAATCCTGGGTATCAGTGGTGTTTGTGCTACCCCCATACTGCTATTCGTATTTACTTAATAAATGTATGCTGCATTGGACTGAGATAGCAACGGGCACCTTATTAACTAAGAATAGTTGAGAAGCCAGCAAAGCAAATCAATTTCCAGCCCTCCCTGAACCTGATGTCCCGTCCCCTCCCCACAACCCATATCTTAGCATTGATTTTACTCCCACACAAGGCACAGAATCATTTCCTTCAGCTACTGGGCTCTTCTCCTGGTTGTCTGCTTTTAGGGAAGGGAGTGGGGGATGACAAAAGGGAGGAAGATGTAAATCTAACAAACCGGTCAAAAGCTCTTTCCATTCTCCCTTCAGTCCTTATCTCCACTTGCTCTGCCTATTTTGAATACCACCTAAGGAGGAGCTAGGATAAGGAAAATGCAGAGGGTGGGAATGGGTTAGAAGAGACCACAACAGAGGAAAGAAGACTCCCCCACACACATGCAACCCTACCCCTGCTCCACCATCATTAACTCAGCCAGACAGAAAACTTCCTATTGAGATTTACCTGTGATCAGGGACTAGGTAGCAATTTTTGCCCAGGAGATGGAAAAAACTTTCAATGACACTCTGAAATGGTATGACTTTGACATTTTTATTAAGAAATATCTTTATTTTAAATGATAGTACAAAAACTGTATATATAATATAGATCTGTATAAGTGTATATACACACAAATGATCACCCACACACACATACACACACACCCTTCCTCATCAAACTCAAATCTTATTAAAATCCTAAATAAAAAAAGAGAAGTATATTTGTTTTCCTAAAACATACTGTACATAAAGCTGTCAGAAAACCTAAAAAACTGAGGACATTTTGAGAAGAATCTAGGCACCCCCACCCACCCTCTTTTTCTCTGCCAACATAAATGGCCTTGGTAGGAGGACAGGCTACAGGACAAAGCCAGAGAAGGAAGCTGCAATCATTATTGTTGGCCAAGTGAGATGCCTAAAACCAACTAGGAAGCACAGGATATAGGGTATGACCTAGATTAATTCTCAGAAACAAACCACTTCAGAATAAACAGAAAATACATGTAATAGGGAAGGAGGGGAGTGGAAAGAGGAAAGACAAGGCCCATAGATTAGAAATGACCTACTAATTAAGTTCTAGTGCCTGGGAAAGACTCAATGAGATAAGAACAATGGGGTCAGAAGCGGTAGTTAGTTTAGAGGGGAAAGTAGGGGAGAGAGATAGGGAATCACAATTTCCTGCCATTAGCCAGCCAAATTGCTACTGTAGAGTCTAGGAATGTCACCCCACCCACTAAGCCTAGAGAGTTTCCAAAAAAAAAAAAAAGGCAGCACCAGAGGCTCAAAGCTACTTAATTCAAATTCATATCCTTCTTACTCCTGTTCTCATATTAAATATATTGGGATAGGAAATGGAGTACTAACTCGGAAAATATTCATCACATAAAATGGAGATAGATAAGAGCCGGGAACAGGATATAGGCGGTGCTGACATATAGTTCATTCTAAAAGCTCCTTTCCTGGCCATACAGAGATGTCTGCACAAAGAGGCCATTCTCCAATAAATTTGGATAAAAACTGACTTCTACTCAATATTTAACTTCTGGGAAGAGTTCACTATATGCCTGAAATCTTCTAGCTCTGGAAGTCCATATGATGTTTGTTAGGAGAGAGCCATACAAGCTTTTTCAAAATGATTTCTCAAAAGGATAAGATTTCTAAACTCGGAAAGCAGATGTACAGAATGCCCGCTCCTTGTGCCATGACCCCTTTATCTAAGGTTTCTTTCCTGTTCAGAGGTGTAAGAGATCTTACAAGTGCCAGTGAAAACAGCTGCCATAGGAGTGGAAAGGAGGCTTGCTCTGTGGAAGGGCAGCTCTGTCTTCACCCCTGACACTGCTCTGAACTGTTTAGCTTATATGGTGTCATCACACCATATGCTAAACAAGTCTCTGTAAAGCCAGACACTGGTTCTCCCCGAGGTTTACTCCTCAGGTTTCTCATTACACCAGGTTCAAGCATACCTCTCAGAGAAGGGCCAGAGTAGAGCTTTTTCTTCCTCAGCCCCCTTAGTGAAGCCACAGGAACCCTCTTCAATATGTTTAATGGAATAAAAATATTTCCAGGTTATGCCAAGTATTTTAAAGCTGAACCTCAAATAAACAAAAAGTGGGAAGATCCATATGTATTTATAAATGTACACACCAATATGCACCCAGCAAATGGGTACTAAAAATGCCCTGGTCACACAATACCTAACTTTGACTGTAGAGCCCTCTGGTAAACTCATTTCTTTTATATCAATATAAAGAAAGAAAGTAATTTGGTATGCCATAGATTTCTAACATTACTGAGCAGATACAAAAATTTTAATAATGCCATGGTAAGGCTGAAGAAGGGGGAAAGGCAAGGCCAAAAATAACTACACATGGATCTGACAGGAAAAAAAGAACATCTTTTAAGGCACTGAGTTCAAAACATAGAAAACCTAAAGTCAAGTTATCCCATATCTCCATTAAGAAACCTCAACTCTGGCATTACAATTAAGAGATCCCACAGAGGTAGTGATAGGAAGGGAATTGTACATTTATATATTTATAAGTAATTTCCCTGAAGCTAGGAATAAGAAAAGAAATATTAAGACTTCTTTCTTTTTCTTTTTTCAGGGAAGGCTTAAAACCAAAATGCAAATGTAGAATCTAAAATTCATAAATTAATACTGATATTGTTAAAGCAGCTTTATTTTAAAGTAGGCAATATCCTAGGTTCCAAGTTTCTTCTGCTTAAGTACCAAGTCTGAACCACCTGTCTGTTAATTGATTCTCTGTAATCCAATCTTGCCAACACAACAGTTGGGATCTAGCAACATTTTCCCAACTTCCATTGCTGATCCTGAAAGATGCAAATCATAAAATGTTATTGCCATTAATGCATTTCATCTTTAATTTCTACCTACTTCAAGGGATCCGGACCTGCCATTTTCTCCATGGCAATACAACTGGAGATCAAATCCTATTTCCCTTCTCTGGGATGATAAAAGGTGTATTTCAAGTAAATAACAACAAATACCTTTTTGCTACTCTTCCCTTTCCAGACATTTCTCTTTTCTCTTTCCCTATCCCTATCCCAACTCCCTATCTCAGAGACCCCATCATCAAAAATGACTTGGGCTGTATTAGAGATTTTTCTAGGTGAGGGTGACAGCCTCCTACAGAAAGAGAATGATAAGTATTTCTGAAGTTCCCCCAAACAGTAGGAACTCTGTATGCTCAGCAGGGAGTGTTGGATGGCAACTCATGGCCCTGGTCAGAAGCTATCCCAGAGAGACAGGTAGCTGGGCCTGGCTATCCTCTGCAGAGTTAACCTCCACTCCCTTAACAGGAAAGAGGGGGGGAAAAGGAATTAAAGTCAATATATAAACAAAGAAAATAAACCAAACACATCTAAAATGACACTTGGTCCATCTGTCTCTGTGGTTAGGCTAAGGCTCCGAAATGGCACACAATAGCAGCTTATTGTTAGCATCTGGTTCACAAAGGGAGTCAGAAAAAAGAAAAACATTGCAAGCCGAAAAAGGACAACTTGACAGAAAATGGCACAATTTCACCCTAGCCCTTACCTGGGATTCTCATCTTCCCCCCAAACCAAGAGTAATCTCTGAAGCCCATGGAGAAAACCTAGTGGTGGTTTTCTCCTAGTGGTGGCCAATGGCCAGGATTAATTTCAAACTGGTATTTTTGCCTATAAGCCTCTAGTAACCAATTCTGTTTCTCAAATTTGGTTTGGGGAGTTATGTTTTAGGTCTATTTTGAGCCCCAAGTGATTCTGCACCTCTGGAAAACTGCAGCAAATTACTTCACTAATCAAGATAAATAGAACCACATGAACTGTCAAGTTTTACTCCAAATTAAAAATATATGTTTTCCCCATGATTGCTAATTAAGAAAACCGTATTCTAAACAGTCATTCAAATGTTTACTTGGCACATCCTCTGGTTTCTTCTTCTCATTTACAATAAAGCAAGAGAGCAGGTCTAGAATGATGGGGGCCCAATGTCAAAGGCAGTAACTTCTGTAATGTAACTTCACAACCGCTCTCTCTCCATCCATAACCCCTCCTGAAAAAACTCCAAACTGGTGCATAAAGAAAACCCAGCAATGAAACACTTCACAAAAGCATCTAAGAAAAGGGAGCAGGCCCAGTGGTAGAGAACGGAGTCAGAGAGATGAAGTTATTGAGCCAGAATTTTTGGTTCCTTACTTTATGGCACTTCTAGTTTTTCACTCTTTTGCCAACACACACCGAGCACCTACAAGGCACAAAAGCTCTGCAAAAAAGCCGACCTTAAGGAACAGAACAATCTGCTCATCCCAGGTCAAATGGAAACAGAACTCCACCAACACCCTCAGCAACTGCCTCTCCCCGGACTTCTTTTTTTGCAATGAGAAGGATACCATGTAAGCGCCACACAAAGGCACACTTAGAAACCTCAATAAAATTTTATAAAATTAAAAAGTTGATATTATATAAATAAACGTGTGGAAGCAAGTTGTTCTAGCAACAGACTATCTTCCTGATTTCAATTTTATAAAATCCAGCCAGAGCAAAGTTTGTATCTCGGGACCAGATTGTTTCATAACCCCACAAGCCTCTTCCTGGCCACTTTCCAGCATTGTGAAGCACAGCCTGGAGGATTTTGGATTTACATATACTTCTCCCACATAAACAAGTTTTCTTTCCTTTCCAGTTTTTAAATATTCCACTTCAGTTTCTTAAACTGGCATCTGAATTATGGACACATAATGGATGCAGAGTTAGGCAATTACCAATTTCTTTTTGGTGAAATTAAATCAGGATGGGGGGAATGCCTGCTCCTTTGGAAGCAGAACATGTATTTTCTCTTCCCAAAAGTTTGCTTCTCACCCACCTCCTAGTTAGTTTTCTTCTCTACCAGGTACACGTCATAAATATAAGGCAAAATTTAAGGTCACTTGATGGTGCAATTATAAAAAGCTCTGTGCATGTCTATACTAGGAATGTTATCTTAAAATCTTCTGATACAAAGTCAGTTATTTAAAAAACAATCAACCCACAACAATTAACCCTCTAAGCTTAAAGTGATGATGTGAGCTGAGAAAATTGGTCCTTATTCTTTTGGTCCTTCAAAAGAAGTATTCCCTAAATTTGGCTTTGAATTTTCCAGTTGCATAGCAAGCCTTCCTGAGCCCAAGCACTGTTACCCTGCTATAGTTTTCTTCTTAAGGACATTCTTAATTTTTATACAATGTCTGTCCTCTGTATTTTCTTTTAAAAAGAGGAAAAAGATGGACACAGTACAAGTTGTGGCCCTCGCACATTAAGATGAAACGGTTTCCAAGGAAACTCCAGAATGAGGCTCTACGGTCCCTCCTGCCCCAGTCACTTCCATGTCTCTCTCTTCCATCTCCCCCTCTGTCACTACTACAGCATCTACTTCGGCCACCTCTTCAACCGTGAAATCAACTCCATTGGGCTGTTGTCTGGCCATAGCCTCTAGCCTGAGGCGGTACTGCTCTGCTTCCTGTTCTTTCTTTAGGAGCTGGTGTCGGTATTCCTGGGCTCTTCGATTGGCCTCCTGGAGCTGCTGTTGGAGTAGCTCTCTTTCAGTGCCCTCCTGTAAAGGTAAACAATGTCACCACCAGGTTAAGAATTCCTGATCCCAGATTATCCAGAGAGTAGACAAAAAACGTAAAGAAGGGTTCAGGCCTTAAAAGTTTTTTGGCTTTTGATTCTTTCCTTTCTCTTCTATCTACTGCTGCTAAGAACATTACCTTGCTCTCCTCCACACTGTTTGTCCTCTCTTCTATTCTTGGTTTCTTAGTCAGAGGCAACTTCTCTGCTTCTTCCTCTTCTTCAATTACAGTTTCCTCTGCAACCTGACCAGCAGGTACAGTTAGAACTACAAGCCAAAGGACACCAATTGGAGGTAATGAATACATAGTGAAACAAAGAGGTTTTGCCTACTTTATTATTTTTTTTAAGATTATATTTATTTATTTGACCCAAAGAGAGATAGTGAGAGAGGGAACACAAGCAGGGGGAGTGGGAGAGAGAGAAGCAGATTCCCTGTGGATGGGAAGCCTAATCTGGGACTCGATCCCAGGACCCTGGGATCATGAACTGAGCTGAAGGCAGACACTTTACCAACTGAGCCACCCAGGTGCCCGCCTACTTTATTATTTAAGATTTTATTTTTATGTAACCTCTACACCCAAGGTGGAGCTCAAATTTACAATCCTGAAATCAAGAATTACAAGCTCTGCCAACTGAGCCAGGCAGGCACCCCTGCTTACTTTAAATTAGAAAATAAACTGAAATATATTAGCTGAAATCTTATTATTCATATCTCTCTGGATCTTAAAATCAACAGGTAAATCATGGCCTACAGAAAGAAACAGGAAAGATTAGAGTATCAGATTTGGAAGCCATGCAGTTAACACCGGGTCTGGTGCTCTTATATAAAGATGTCTAACTCGGGGGGCATGTGGGTGGCTCAGTTGGTTAAGTGTCTGTCTTTGGCTTAGGTCATGGTCCCAGGGTCCTGGGATTGAGCTCCACATCAGGCTCCCTGTTCAGCAGGGAGTTTGCTTCTCCCTCTCCCTCTGCCACTCCCCTGCTTGTGCTCTCTTTCTCTCAAATAAATAAATAAATAAATAAAACCTTAAAAAAATATATCTAACTAACTCTAGGAGCACCTGGGTAGCTCAGCCGGTTAAGCATCCAACTCTTGATTTCAGCTCAGGTCATATCTCAGGGTCATGAGATCCAGCCCTGCACTGGGCTCCGCATTGAGTGTGGAGATTGCTTAAGTTTCTCTCTCTCTCTCTGCCCACCCCCACCCCTGCTTGCACACAGGCTCACTCTCTCTCTCTCTAAAATAAAGAAGTCTAACTATGGCCAATAAGCTTACAATTACTTGGGAGTAACCTGTCTAATGAAGGCCTAATGTCTTTACATAACATTTTTGAGGAACTTCACATGACAGCAGTTTACCACTCACTATATCCAATTTAATAAATTTCTCTTTTGTAGATAAATGAGAAAAGGGTCAACAAACAGTTCAATGCACTGCACATCTATCAGAATGGCTAAAATTTTAAAAAATGGCGATAACACCAGACACTGACATGGATGTGGCAACACTGGATTACTCATAAATTGTTAGTGGGACTATAAAATGGAACAGTTACTCTAGGAAATAGTTCATGCTCTGTCAAAGTATTTACAAAATTAGACATGTTTACAAAACTAAACATGTACTTAGCATGCAACCCAGCAATTGCACCTTGGGGCATTTATCCCAGAGAACTCAAAATTTATATTCCCATAAAACATGTACACTATTGGTCATAACAGCTTTATTCATAGATAGCAAAAAACTAGAAACAAGTTAAATGTCCTTCAATGAATGGTTAAACAAACTGTGGTAATCCATACCATGGATACTATTCAGCAATAAAAAGTAGTGAACTATTGATACAAACAACAACTTAGATAGATTTTAAGGGAATTATGCTGAGAGAAGAAAAGCCAATCTCAAAAGGTTCCATATTACATGATTCCATTTATTATAATATTCTTGGAATGACAAAAGTATAGAGTTAGAAAACAAATGAGTTAGTGGTTGCCAGGGGTCAGGAATGGGTTGGGAAGTGAGGTACCTATAGATACAAAAGTAGCACAAAGGATCCTTGTGATGGAACTTTTCTCTCTCTCTCTCTCTTTTTTTTTTAAAGCAAGAGAGCGCCTGAGCACACGTGAACAGGGAGTAGGCGGGGAGGCAGTGCGCCAGAGGAGAGAATCTCAAGCAGAATCCACACTCTGTGGAGCCCACACGGGGCTCAATTTCATCATCCTAAGATCATAACCTGAGCTGAATCTGAGAGTTGGATACTTAACCATGTGAGCCATCCAGGTGCTCTGGAACTGTTCTCTGTCTCAACTGTGGCAGTGCTCACACAAATCTACACTTGTATTCACTGCAGAGAACTAAGTGCATACACAAGCACATACATGAATACATATAGAATTGGAAAATTTTCAATAAGGTTGGCGAATTGTATCAATGTCAATTTCCTGTCTGTTATATTGTATTACTGCAAAATGTTACCAATGGGGGAAACTGGGTGATAGGGATACTGGATATCTCTGTATTATTTCTCACAACTGTACACACTGGGGCACCTGGGTGCCTCAGTCAGTTAAATGTCTGACTCTTGATCTCAGCTCAGATCTTGATCATAGCTCGTGAATTCAAGCCCCACACTGGACTCCATACTGGATGTGGAGCCTACATAAAAAAACACACTATAGGGGCACCTGAGTGGTTTAGTTGGCTAAGCATCTGCCTTTGGCTCGGGTCATGATCTCGGGGTCCTGGGATCAAGCCCTATGTGGGGCTCTCTGCTAAGTGGGGAGTCTGCTTCTTTCTCTCACTCTTCCTCTGTACTCTCCCTCTTTCTATCAAGTAAATAAATAAAATTGTTAAAAAAAAAAAAAAAACCCAAACCATACACATATCTACAATGATCACAAAATTAAAAACTTTAAAATTCTATTTAGGTTTTAGGTTACATTATGATTTTTGTTTAAAACAGAAAATTTACCTAGTTACTTGGTTTGGCTGATTTAAAACTTAGCTTGTATTCCTTGGTTACTCATCAACTGATGGCAATAGAAAACAGCTTAGATATCTGCTAGGTGGAAAAGGCAGTTTAGTTGGGATTTTAAAACATCCTGCAGATAATTCACAAAATCTCAGCTTTCCTTCTTTGTGCCTGATTAAATACATTTGTAAAAGGTGGTATAGTTCATCCAGGCAAAACTTCAAATATTTTTTTCCCCTCAAAACAACTCCATTCTCATTTATTTGACTCCATTATAAGCAGTTTCTCACCTACCCAAGGAAGCCCCAAAGCTTTAAACCATGTTCACAAAAACATCAATAGTATATTCCCCCCCAAAAAATAGGAATTTATGATACTAAAACTTGAATTATTCAGGGTTTGGTTTTTTTTTTTTTTTAAGATTTTATTTCTTTGACAGAGAGAGAAAGCAAGAATATAAGAGCATGAGTCGGGGGGAGGTGCAGAGGGAGAAGCAGACTCCCCACCAAGCAGGGAGTCAGATAAGGGGCTCAAGGCAGAAGCTTAACTGACTGAGCCACCCAGGCACCCCAATTATATAGGTTTAATATCTGTTTTTTCTTTCTATGCTACAAAGATCCACCAATTTAAATAGTTTGAAAATTATAAAATCCCCATCATTATTTAGGCCAAGTCAAAATTTTGGTGACTCAAATGCAATAAACCAACCCTCCTCTTTCAAACTCCCGATTTTTTTTTTTTTTTAAAGACAGAGACAGAGAGAGTGCAAGCAAAGTGGGGGGCAGCACAGAAGGAGAGGGAGAGAGAGAAACTTAAGCAGGCTCCATTCCTAGCATGGAGCCCAAGGCAGGACTCAATCTCACCAACCTAAGATCATGAACTGAGCCAAAATCAAGAGTCAGACACTTAACCAACTGAGCCACCCAAGGACCTCAAACTCCAGTATTTTTAAGGAATGAAGTTATAAGGATTAGTTGCTCTTGAAAAAACAAAAACGAAACTATTGATGTATTTCTTGAAGAAGTAATACATTCACATGGTTCAAAAATTAAAAGTTATGGGGCACCTGAGTGGCTCAGCCGGTTGAGCGCCTGCCTTCAGCTTAGGTCATGATCTTACAGTCCTGGAATAAAGCCCCCAAGTCAGGCTCCCTGCTCAGAGAGGGGTCTGCTTCTCCCTCTCTCTCTGCCTCCTTACCCTGCTCGTGCTCTGTCTCTTTTGCTCTCAGTTTCTCTCTCTCTCTCAAAAAAATAAAATCTTTAAAAATATATTAAAAGTTATAAAAACATATATAGTGAAAAGTCTCCCATCCATCCCCAGCTACTCAGGTACCTTCTGAGGCAACCAATGTTCTTTTTGTTTTTTAAGATTTTATTTATTTATTTTGCAGAGAAAGAGGGAGAGGGAGAGCACAAGCAGAGGGAGCAGGAAAAGGAGATGGAGGCTCCCCACTGACCAGGAAGCCGGATGTGGGATCATGACCTGAGCTGAAGGCAGATGCTTAGCTGAGCCACCCAGGCATCCCCCCACCTTTTTTTTTTTTTTAAGATTTTATTTATTTGACAGAGAGAGCACAAGCAAGGAGGTAACCAATGTTATTGATGTTATTCTTGAATATTCCTTCAGAAATGGTTTAAGTCTATGAATATATTAGCAAATATACATATATTTCCCCCTTTTTAAAAAATACAAGTGTAGCATATTCTACACACTGTTCTGCATCTTACTTTTGTCACTTAACAATATGGTTTTGGGATGAGACCATGCTAGTATATAAGGCACTTCCTCATTGTTTTCAGCAGCTGCACAGCACTCCAATGTATGGGTGTACCATAATTTCTTTATCTAGTTCCCTACTGACATATACTTACATTCTTTTTATTTTTCATTTTTTTATTGGAGTATAGTTAATCCACAGTGTTACACTAGTTTCAGGTGTACAACACAGTGACTCAAGCTCTCTATACATTATGTTATGTTCACCACATACAGCTACCATCTACTTAGGTTATTTTTAATCTTGGACGATTATAAATAGTGCTATAATGAATAACTCAGTATATATTTCATTTCTGTGTGAATATAAATTCTTAGAAAAGAACTTTTTAGCCAAAAGGTATGTGTATCTTTAATACTGATAGATACTGGGAGCTCCCTGGGTGGCTCAGTCAGTTAAGCATCTGACTTTGGCTCAGGTCATCATCTCTGGGTTCTGGGAATGAGCCCCATGTCAGGCTTCCTGCTCACTGGGGAATCTGCTTCTCCCTCTGCCTCTCCTCCCTGCTTGAGAGCACATAAGCACTCTGTCTCCCATAAATAAAATCTTTTAAAAATGCTGATAGATAATTACAATCAATTCTTTAGAGGATACATTAATTTACACTCTCAGCAGTGATTTTTTTTTTTTTTTTACATTTTATTTTTAAATACTCTCTACACCCAACATGGGACTAGAAATTACAACTCTGAGATCAAGGATCACAAGCTATACTGACTGAGCCAGCCAGTGATTTATGAATGCCTATTTCCCCACACCTCTGACAACACAGTGTTATAATGGTATCTCAGTGCAGAACTGACTTGCATTTCTCTTGCTATGTATGAAGTAGGTTGAACATATTTCAGTGTTTATATATATATATATATATAAAGATTTTATTTATTTATTTGACAGAGATCACAAACAGGCAGAGAGGCAGGCAGAGAGAGAGGAGGAAGCAGGCTCCCTGCCAAGCAGAGAGCCTGATGCGGGGCTCGATCCCAGGACCCCGGGATCATGACCCAAGCCGAAGGCAGAGGCTTTAACCCACTGAGCCACCCAGGCGCCCCCATATTTCTGTGTTTTTAAAACCCATCAGTATTTTCTGTGAACTACTAGTTCATACTATTTCCTCTTTTATCTACCAGACTATTGGCTTTTACTCACACATTTTATATATATTAGGGAAATCAGGCTTTGCCAGCCTAGTTTCCATTTCTTTTTTTCTTAGAGCCAATCTGGTATCTGGCATTCTTTTAGTCCCACTACTTATTTTAATGCTTCATATTTAGAGGACTGTGGAATGTCTAAAATATCTTTTCAGGGCGCCTGGTTTGCTCAGTGGGTTAAGCCTCTGCCTTCGGCTCAGGTCATGATCTCAGGGTCCTGGAATCGAGCTGCACTGGATTCTCTGCTCAGCAGGGAGCCTGCTTCCCCCTCTCTCTCTGCCTGCCTCTCTGCCTACTTGTGATCTCTCTCTCTGTCAAATAAATAAATACAATCTTTAAAAAAATAAAAATAAAAATAAAAAATAAAATATCTTTTCATACACACTTGTCTGAACGGGATAACTCACCTTGCTGTCCATTTTGCATAGTTACAATAAATGGCTGGCCAATGCTTCCAGTAGGGATCGCAGTTTGTATATTACCCAGAGGGACTCCATCAGTCACTATAGTGATGACCCTTTGGCCTCCGCTCCCCACCACTTGCTGGATTGATGAATCAACAGAATTTCCCTCTATGACTTCCTCTGAATTAGCTAAAGATGACGAAAATGAATTGGAAATTTCAGCTTTCTAAAAAAATAGGAGTATAACAATTTCAGCCTTCTTGAAATTGACTGTATCAGGGATAGGAAAACTTGAGAAAAGAAGTTATATTTAAGTTTCTAATGCAAGTTCTAGCAAACAATGCTAAGTTGGAGGAGAAAAGAAAATAGTAAATGCAATAAACAGTATTTTCAAAAATGTCTTCACTGAGATGTTAATAGCTTTCACTAAGATTGGGTTCTATGCACAAATACACTTCCAAAATGCCAGTTTATATATGCTTAAATTTTTTGTTTGTTTTTTAAGAAGCATCAGAAACCCCAACAGGCTAATGAGCACTATGATTCTCCAAAAGGACAGAAGATATGCTGAGTTTCCCTAGCATATTTGATCTTGGGAGTTCTTTTTTCAAGAAGCATCTTGAAAGTCTAAATAAATCTATGGAGTTAGAAAAATAATTACAGAGTAGATCTATTTCTATAAGAAAATGGATTAACAAAATAACATGTCAAGAGTCAAAACACTGATAAAGTCTGACAGACTCAAATGGTAGGTGGCTTCTCCCATCTGACAAACAATAATATTAACAGCAACTAACACTGACTACTTACAATGTAGCCAGGTACCCTTTTAAAAGCTATATATATATATAATGTTGAATCAAAATTTTCAGTTTGGAAATCAAAAAAGGGGAGGGGGGTGCCTGACTGGCTCAGTCAGAAGAGGATGAGACTCTTGATCTTCAAGCCCCACATTGGGTGTAGAGATTATGTAAATAAATAAAACTTAAAAAAAAAAGATTTTCAGTTTGATTAGTCAATATCCCCAATAATTGTTAGGGAAAAGAGTTCCTACTATTCCACTACAGAATTTCTCTCTCTAAAGAGACACAGGTAGGACTCTGTACTAAGTGTGATATGGACTATCCACCTGAGACACATTCAGGTGGTTTAATGGAAACAGAGCATTTACATCTCTTAAAAACAAAGAACAGTTAAATGTTCTAGCTGAAAAGACCTCGAAAGATAATATGATCCAACCAACCAACCTCAGCCAGAGATGAGGAGACTGAGACCTGGAGAGGATAAGTAATTTATCCAAAATCCAAAAGCAAATCAAATTAACAATCATGAGTTTAATACATTGCTTTTCCCTCTGCCATGCTGCTCACTCATACATGTCTGAATAGAGATCTTTATGATTGCTGACAGTTGGAAAAACAGAATTGGCGGAATGTTCTCACCACCCAAATGTCAATGGCAGAAAGAAATCAGAACAATCTGCTTTCATTTATGATGGAGCAGATTGTCAGAAGGCTCCAGAAAGTTTCCTAGATGACTATTTAGCTCTACCTAATACTATTTGCCCCTACTTATATGAAGCCCTAAGCCTTCTCCCCACAGGCTACCAGCTCTAGCTAAGTCACTTGACCCTTTTTTGTTCTGTATATCAGAAGGCCACTGTACAGCATATATCTGCCCAACTCCACTGGAAATGCCAAAATATCATCTCCAGTGAAAATAAAAGCAAGCCACCCTAAAGTACACAGAATAGGACAATGAGAGACGTAGCAGTCTTATGTATTTTGATGCTTTAAATACAACATATCTAAGCTGCTATTTTGAATCATTCTATGATAGCACCAGTCAAAACATAACATAGAGTATTTCCCAAATAATCTGCTAATAGAAGACTAAACATTTCAATCTGAAGCAACTGGAGCAAACAAACTTGAAACTGCAAAAGTACAAGAAATGACTGAGTCAGAGTATTCAGCCATCTGATTATATTGCTTAAGTGATTTTTCTTTCTGATGTTCAGTGACTCTACAGTCCTCTTTCTTAGATGTCTCTAATTAATCATAGTTCTTTAATATTTCACGCAGATTAAATCTGCTGGAAATGTAAAAACGAAAGAAATGCTGATTCACCCAGCAGATATCCCTTACCTACCTGCGGCTCTGTGAGAGTTGGACAAGGGGGCTGATGCCTCTCCAAGAGCTGCAAGGGTGGCCAGCACTGAGGTGGTAGAATGTGACAAGTGTGGTGCTGAGGAGGCATGGGGGTCACCTATTTTGGTAAAAAAGGCAAATGAGGTCTGGCAGAGAGAATAAATGGGAGATTAACTAAAAATGGCTTTTATTAAATCAAAACCTCAGCTTTGCATTCTAATGTCTTCCTCTTGCTCTCCATTACAAACTGGTATTAACCAATGATCATGGTGTTAACACTCTTGGAAGGTTTAGAAAGGTTTTCCTTTAAAGTGGATTAAGGTAATATGCTTAGTATAGGGTCACTACATTGCCCACATTTGCTCATTTTCTCGGCACTGCCAGTGCTGAGCATTCGGAGCCAACAGACCCAGAGGGCTGCCTACTCCTTAGGCTGGCTGTACAGAGCTCTCCCTGGCAGCAGGCTTACCCTAAACTAGGTGGTGCTGAGGGAAGAGGGCCTGCAGATACTGCATCTATCCATAAGCCAGAGAGGTGAGAAGACTCGGGATGACCTCTGACACAAGGACCGGTAAAACCTGGACATTTCATTTATTGAATGTCAAAGGGTAGTACAACTGATTCATGGTAAAAAATAATTACCTACTTTAATTTTTTAATAAAAAATCCTTTTTTTAAAAAAAACTTTGTTTACAACCTTTTCTTCTTATATCTGTGTGCTATCCTTACAGCTAAGTTCCAGGAGGAAAATGCATTTGATCTGGCAACAGGCACATGCCTAACTTTATGAACCAAAAGTATTACTCGACGGTTTTGCATAAATACAACTTTTGTTTGTATTTCCTACAAAATGAATTGTATTTCCCTGTGTCTTTCATTATAATTTCAAAGATACTTTTGTGCCAGTTGTGAATTTATTCCAAATCCACCCTTCTTTGCCTTGCCTTGTCATACTGAAACCCTAACATGGACCCTAACAATATTTCTTGACAGCATGAAATTAAGTTTTGTCATACAAAATTTGTGGCTGCTCCTATATTGGTTATTCCTATATTCTCTCGGGTTCTCCTCACCTCTCAGTAGTTAATCCACTATTACTGGTAATTTTTCATGAATTGTACATGTAAGTTTAGATATTTTAGAAATCATACATATTATATATTACAATAAAATTATACAAATCACCATGTAGTTTTGTCGCCTGACTGGACTCTGACTAATACACTTACCTTCTTAAGTGTATTCTTAATTTTTTTTAAAGATTCTATTTTTTAAAAAAGATTTTATTTATTTGACACACAGAGCGAGAAATCACAAGTAGGCAGAGGGTGGGGGGGAAGCAGGCTCTCCGCTGAGCAGAGAGCCCGATGCGGGACTTGATCCCAGGACCCTGAGATCATGACCAGAGCTGAAGGCAGAGGCTTAACCCACTAAACCACCCAGGTGCCCAAGATTCTATTTTTTTTTAAGTAAGCTCTACACCTAATGTGGGGCTCAAACTTACAACCTGAATATTGAGAGTCGCACACTCCACTGACCGAGCCAGCCAGGAGCCCCTCTTAATTTTTTCAAAGACTTACTTATTCATTTGAGAGAGAGAAAGCATGAACACCCACATTAAGGGCAGAGGGAGAAAGACAGTCTCAAGCAGATTCCACACTGAGCACAAACCTGATGTGGGGTTCGATCCCACAATCCATGAGATTGAGCCAAAAGCAGGAGCTGGATGCTTAACAGACTGAGCCACCCAGGTGCCCCTTAATTTTTAAAAAGATTTTATTTTTAAGGTTTTTATATTTAAGATATGTTTTCAAGATTATATTTTAATCTCTGCACCCAATGTGGGACTCGAATTTATAATCCCAGGATCAAGAGTCACATGTTCTACTGACTAAGTCAGCTAGGTGCCCCAATGTACTCTCAATTTTTGTTTTCCCACTAACTATGCTTAAAGATTCTTTCCAGCCTTTCGTCTATCAAAAAGCCAGCTATCTGTAAAACACTTTAAAATACTTAAGGAAATTCCTTTTTAATACTCTTTATAATAAATCCATCCACTGAGCAAAGAATCCTTTTCTGATATGATTAATGTAGGTAATTTAACTGCTTTATAAATTTAGATTTCAAAAAGCAGATTACTTATATAGTATTCCTAATAGCTACGAACTATCTTCTCTTAAGTTTATTATTCTTTTTTTAGTAATCTTTACACCCAATGTGGGGCATGAACTCACAACTCTGAGATCAAGAGTCACGTGCCCTACCATCTCAGCCAGCCAGGTGCCCCAGCTACAAATGATCTTAATCTAGCTTCCGGATGATGATGGTGGCAGTGGGGGATTACCATGGAGACAGTGATGATAACTCTGTTTTATTCTTTCATTCTCTCACATAATACTCAGGAAACCAAACAGTCTGAGTGGAACACAGTGCCTGTCCTCCAGAAAGGAGCCTAGGTAAACAACTTCACACAGAGCAAGATCCAGCTACAGCCTATTCCCTAATGTTCCCACTAAATTCACGCTTTTCCCACCACACAGCTTATTACACCAAACACTGGCATAAGAACTCACAAATGAAACAAACAAGGAACAAGCAATTTTTAAATATATTTGTATATATAGCCCTTGAGGAGGTTGGAATATATCTGACAGTAAGTCACTAGCAATCTAAAAACAAGGTTGTTATTCTTTTACTATAGTCAAAACACTTGCACACACCAGGGCTGTTGTAATTAAAGTTCAAGTAGGCCAAGTATCAGTTAGGTCACTCCGCTAAAGTAGAATAGCTGGGTAATACTTCTTGAGAAGGCATTGTATACTTTTTAGCACATAATGATACCAAGCTAAGGCTGTTCTCCCTTTGATTCAGACATGACTCACTCAACTTCCCCTTAACAGCAAAAGGAAGAAAGAACATTTGTGGAAAATTGGGTTTAATACTCTGATATGCACAGCTGAAACTGAAAAGCAATGATCCAAATTACCTCCTTAGACTTATCCCTATGAATTTTAGGAAAATTAGGTACTTTATTGCTAAACAATATTAATTCTTTCCTTCTTCTCAGTATGAGACCTAACACCAAATAAAGTAAAATGCACATGGTTGGTGTTATTTTAAAATGGCACTATCAGGGATGACTCTATTATTTCTACATATAATACATATAATAGAGTATATACTTTATTATATACATATATATATAGGCATATATATATAATGTATCTATTCAGAATGTGGCTTAGAGAAACTCATCATATCAGGATTTAGGGGAGTGTGCTATGGTAGGAGGCAATCTCAGTGAGTTGGTGAAAAACTAAGTAACTTGCACAGGTCACATAGATAGTAAATGTCAGAGGCCAGACTAGAATGCAATTCATTAGATTCCTCAAAGCCTGTACTCTTTATGAACCAATACAAAGCTATTTATATTTGACTTTGGAGTGCATCTTATGATCCTACAGAAATAGGAAATTCATCTTTGTAACTCTTTTTTTGCCCTGATTAATGTTTAATTTAGTCTGCCTTTCTCAACTGCTGCATTGTGACGGTAGCACGGACGACCAGCGGTATCTTTAGTCACAAATGGAAAACTGAAAGCAAACTTTTTTTAAAAAATATTTTTATTTATTTATTTGACAGACAGAGATCACAAGTAGGCAGAGAGGCAGGCAGAGAGAGAGGAGGAAGCAGGCTCCCCGCTGAGCAGAGAGCCTGACATGGGACTCGATCCCAGGACCCTGAGATCACGACCCGAGCTGAAGGCAGAGGCTTTAACCCACTGAGCGACCCAGGCGCCCCGAAAGCAAACTTTATAATACGAATTTTGTTATCAAAAATATCCATCAGGGGGACGCCTGGGTGGCTCAGTTGGTTGGGCGGCTGCCTTCGGCTCAGGTCATGATCCCAGCGTCCTGGGATCGAGTCCCACATTGGGCTCCTTGCTTGGCGGGGAGCCTGCTTCTCCCTCTGTCTCTGCCTGCCATTCTGTCTGCCTGTGCTTGCTCTCTCTCCCTCTCTCTCTGACCAAAAAAAAAAAAAAAAATCCATCAGGGGTGCCTGAGTGGCTCAGTGGGTTAAAGCCTCTGCCTTCGGCTCAGGTCATGATCTCAGGGTCCTGGGATCGAGCCCCGCATCAGGCTCTCTGCTCAGCAGGGAGCCTGGTTCCCCCTCTCTCTCTCTGCCTGCCTCTCTGACTACTTGTGATCTCTGTCTATCAAATAAATAAATAAAGATCTTAAAAAAAAAAAATATCCATCGGGGCGCCTGGGTGGCTCAGTGGGTTAAAGCCTCTGCCTTCCGCTCAGGTCATGATCCCAGGGTCTTGGGATTGAGCCCCGCATAGGGCTCTCTGCTTGGCAGGGAGCCTGCTTGCCCCTCTCACTCTTCCAGGCACTCTGCCTACTTGTGATCTCTGTCTGTCAAATAAATAAATAAAATCTAAAAAAAATCCATCAAAATGATTATCCTAGGATACTTAAAACTATTCCTGGATGGAGGCACCTGAGTGACTTAGTCGGTTGAGTGTCTGCCTTCAGCTCAGGTCATGATTCCAGGGGCCTAGGATCGAGCTCCTCATTGGGCTCCCTGCTTAGCAGGGAGCCTGCCTCTCCCTCACCTTCTGCCATTCCCCCTCCTTGTGTTCTCTGGCTCTCTCCGTCAATAAATAAAATCTTTTTTAAAAATTACAAAAAATATTACTGGATGAGGGGCGCCTGGGTGGCTCAGTGGGTTAAGCCGCTGCCTTCGGCTCAGGTCATGATCCCAGGTCCTGGGTTCGAGCCCCGCGTCGGGCTTTCTGCTCAACAGGGAGCCTGCTTCCTCCTCTCTCTCTGCCTGCCTCTCTGCCTATTTGTGATTTCTCTCTGTCAAATAAATAAATAAAATCTTTAAAAAAAAAAAATATTACTGGATGATGGGGGGAAAAAAGAAGGGTGGCTCGGTTGGTTGGGCATCCAACTCTTGATTTCAGCTTGGGTCATGATCTCAGGATGGTGAGATCAAGCCCCATGTCTGGCTCTGCACTTGGCATGGAGCCTGCTTGGGATTTTCTCTCTCCCTCTGACCCTCTTCTCCTCCCCTTGCACACGCAACTGCACACATTCTCTCTCTCTCTCAAAAAAAAAAAAATGGGTAACAGGGAAAAAAGCAAGCCACCCACCCACCCACCATTCAGGAAAAGAAAATCCTTTAACCTAGTTGAATAACAAAACCTGAATTTATCTTATAACTTTTCTCCTTTCTTTTATCTGCATTAATTATCTCCCCTGAAGTGGGAGAGGCAGGTAGAATGGTTTCATGGGTAAGACAACACTGGAGAGATCGGCTCTATTATGTGATGGTTTAGCAATCTTAATTCATAGTGGCAACATACAGAAGAGAGAAACAATAGGTTTGCCAAAAGGAACATGACAAACATGATATAGGCCCATGGGAACCAAGGCTACGAAGCTATATCCTAAATATCTTCAGCTTTGCTTATCATTTCAGATCTGGGTCTGAAGAATTTCAATAGTTAGATGACCAACTCTAGCTCCTTTTACATGTTTATGAACATATAACTTTACTGGCTTCTAAAGAATTTTGGATCCTAAAGGTACTCGTTCTAATCACTGTGGCATGTACTACAAGAAATCCAAAAGTCTGTGAATGTTCTGATTACATGTATATGTATATTTAACCTAAATTTTTTGAATTATCAAGCTGAAAGCAAAGCACAGTGATTTTTAAATGATAGTTGATGGCTTATAAAAATGAAGGTCACTACTGCCCCCTTGAGGGCATAACAGAATGAACTTTCATTGAGGAGTTCTATTTACATTTAACCCTAGCTATTATTGAAGTCCTGCTATAAAATGGAAATACAAAGTTTCATAACCTCATAAAGTAGGTATTATTATATCCCAATTTTGTAGATAAGTAAAGAAGGCTTAGAGAAGTAAGAGTTTTCCAAGGTCAAGCATGTAGTCAATTAATAAATCAGTATTTGAATGCAGTACTGAATGTAAAATTCTATGTATATTGTGTATGTTCTTTCTATTTAACCACACTGCCCCTCAATTATAACACCTCATTCAAGATCTTTCCTTGATATTATACAAACCTTTTTTTAAAAAAGATTTTATTTATTTGACAAAGAGAGAAAGAGTGCGAGCACACACATGAGCAGGGGCAGAGGGAGAGGGAGAAGCAGGCTCCCTGCTGAGCAAAGCCTGATATGGGACTTGATCCCAGAACCCCAGGATCATGACCTGAGCTGAAGGCCGACGCTTAACCAACTGAGCCACCCAGGCATCCCGATATTATACAAACTTAACTAGAATACAGTGTCTTATTTTTTTTTTTTTTAAGATTTTATTCATTCATTTGACAGAGAGAGATCACAAGTAGGTGGAGAGGTGGGCAGAGAGAGAGAGAGGAGGAAGCAGGCTCCCTGCTGAGCAGAGAGCCTGACATGGGACTCGATCCCAGGACCTTGGGATCATGACCTGAACCGAAGGCAGAGGCTTTAACCCACTGAGCCACCCAGGCGCCCCTACAGTGTCTTATTTTTAAGTGAAAGTCAGAAACAGAAAAAGAAACCGAGTCAGTAAGAAAATTGATGTAAATTAGGACACAAACTCCCTCATTGTAAAACAAATATTTGTGTTTTTTTATTTTTATTTTTATTTATTTATTTATTTGTGTTTTTTTATTTTTATTTTTTTTTTATTTTATTTTTTTTTTTTTTAAAGATTTTATTTATTCATTTGACAGAGAGAGATCACAAGTAGACAGAGAGGCAGGCAGAGAGAGAGAGAGGGAAGCAGGCTCCCTGCTGAGCAGAGAGCCCGATGCGGGACTCGATCCCAGGACCCTGAGATCATGACCTGAGCCGAAGGCAGCGGCCTAACCCACTGAGCCACCCAGGTGCCCTATTTGTGTTTTTTTAAAAGATTTTATTTATTTGACAGGGAGAGAGATCTCAAGTAGGCAGAGAGGCAGGCAGAGAGAGAGGGGAAAGCAGGCACCCCGCTGAACAGGGAGCCCGCCATAGGGCTCAATCCCAGGACCCTGAGATCATGACCTGAGCCAGAGACTTAACCCACTGAACCACCCAGGCGCCCCTAAAACAAATATTTGTAAAGAAATGTTGAAAATAGCTCAGTTTGCTCCTTTTTAGATAGATGTTTTTGTTAAAAACATACAGATCTCAAAATGAGCTTTTCTTTGCCATTTTGCTGTTTACTTATGTTTCCAAGAATAAATCAAAGCTCTTATACTTTATTCAAATGATCACATGTACCTCTTTTATATCGGCACTCCAATATCCATTTACATTTATTCTGGTTTATTTGTCACTGTTTTAGACTATGAGTATTTAACTATTTTCCTTAGTGGTAACCATACTGAAGCACCCTTATGTTTTCATTTTGCAGTCATACATAACCCTTCCACAGATCAATCTGTAGAATATTTTACTTTTAATACGGTAAGCACTGATGTGTAATCCCTGTGTATGATCTCTTCCCCCAGGAAGAATAAATGCATTGGCTTTAAAATCTATTATATATCTTCTATTTGGGGAATAGTTTAATAAACAAGTAGGTATCAGATAGAGTATTAATTCATCTCATAGGAAAAACTGGGGTTCTGTTCATTTTAAGTCTAAAATAAATGCCACGTTATCAGATTATTACCTGAGGTTCTTTTGGTGTTGGTTGAAGAAACAAGGCTAGCGAGGTTGACAACTTCTCCAGATGTGAAGATGAATGGGGCAGCCACAGTCACGGGGTTGGCGCTCTCGGGATTAGCATTCACCTGATTCTGCATCGCTTCCTACCAAACAAGGCAGGATATTTCAAAGTCAGAACTTGTTAGCCTTAGTTATACAGTTACTGAACAGCCACTCCCACCCCAATGCTCTGTTGAGCAGAACTAGTGGTGGAACACAATGTCCCAGGGAGCTCAGAGTTCTCATTAAGACTACTGTTTTTCTGGGGCGCCTGGGTAGCTCAGTGGGTTAAGCCTCTGCCTTTGGCTCAGGTCATGGTCTCAGGATCCTGGGATCTAACCCGACATTGGGCTCTCTGCTCAGCGGGAAGCCTGCTTTCCCCTCTCTCTGCCTGCCTCTCCGCTTACTTGTGATCTCTCTGTCAAATAAATAAATTAAAAATCTTAAAAAAAAAAAAAAAGACTACTGGTTTTCTTTTTTGTTTTGTTTGATTGTTTATTTGTTTTCCAGATCAGGGCAACAGAGATGTTAGGTTGCTTTCCCAAGTTTATTTCTAATTTAAAGAAAAAAAGTATTATCATTTCCCAAAAACTGTATCATTTGCAAAAACTTCTAGACAATTCACTTAACCTGTCGGGAACTTGTTTTTTTCTTATTTGGAAAATGAGGTGGGGAACCTAAGAAGTAATTTTCAGCATGAACATTCTATCAATTATATACAGGTCAATGTGCTAGCCGGAGATCCCTGCAGCAAATTTGCAAAGAACAATATTCTCCAGAGTTTTGTCCAACTACTTGTTCCATTTTGCATTGAAGAAATTCCTAAGAGAATATATAACAAGCAAATAAATGAGTGCCAGATTTTAAAGTCTAGTTCCATATGCTGCATTTTGCTTCCAGGGCTCTCTGTACAATTTCGATGTAAAGATACTTACCTTTATTTTATTTTCTGACTTTCAGAAGCAGTTTTCTACAAACATGATATTTACTTATGAAGTCCAACTACAAAAGAGCTCTAAATAAGGAATTGAAAGCTAAAGAGGACAACCGGTCTATAGAGAACCATCAGTCAGAAAAAAGGAATAAACAAACAAACTCCTGAAAATGCAGCAGAAATGGATACCCATTTTTTTTTTAAATTATTTATTTGACAGAGAGTGAGAGAAGGAGAGAGAGCACAAGTGGGGGGAACAGCAGAGGGAGAGGGGGAAGCAGGATGCGGGACTCGATCCCAGGATCCTGAGATCATGACCTGAGCCGAAGGCAGAGGCTTAACCCACTGAGCCACCCAGGTGCTCCTGGATACCCATTTTTTACATATAATTATCCCTTTGATTAAGAGCCTCAGTTGAAACAGATTATCCATTTACTGGTTACTGTTTTTTTTTTTTTAATATTTTATTTATTTATTCGACACAGAGAGAGAGTGCACAAACAGGGGGAACAGCAGAAGGAGAGGGAGAAAGCAGGCTCTCCAAAGACCCTGGGATCATGACCTGAGCCCAAGGCAAATGCCAATCATCTGAGCCACCCAGGTACCCCTAGAATGCTTTAAAAAAAAAATAATTTATTTATTTGACAGAGAGAGAGTACAAACAGGGAGAGTGGCAGGCAGAGGGAGCAGCAGGCTCCCAGCTGAGCAAGGAGCCCGACATGGGACTCGATCCCAGCACCCTGGGATCATGACTTGAGCCCAAGGCAAATGCTTACCTGATTGAGCCACCCAGGCACCCTAGAATGCTATTTTTTTTTAAAGATACCAATGACACTGAGTCACAAGATTGAGACATATCAGAAGTTTAGAAGTACTACCTTGATAAACAGAGCAAATTCAATTTTGATTCAAATCCTATAAAAAAAAAATTTCTCAACTTCAATTGAAATGTATTCTGGGGGTATAAAAAGAAACAGACCTGAAGGATGACCAGAATTTCAGCATTCTTTTTCTCCAGGGCTATGTCAAAGGCAGATTTATCAAACTTGCTGAAAGCATGGACATCAGCTCCATATTTGATAAGAAGCTCTACAACATCTCGATGGTGGTGTTCTGTAGCCCAATGTAAAGCTGTCATCTTCAGCATGTCCTTGGCATTCACATCTGCACCATTCTGTCACAGAGACGTAATTTTTTTCAAAGAGACACTGGTTATAGTAGCACAGGTGCAAGATCCCATCAGCCAAAATAAGAAGAATTTCAATGGAGATTACACATATTCAAATTTAGATCACATAGAAATATCAAATGGAAAAACATTCTTCAAATTCTCCTGAATGATGACAGACATAATATCTTCAATGAGTGGGTCTTTTAAGGACAACTGGGAAATTACAACAGATGGGAAAGGAAGGGGAAAAGAACAGATTTTTGCTGCGTTTATTAACAGAGCTGAGAGCCTACAAAAATAGGCTTAAGTACAGAAAACACCTGCAGAAAGAGAATGAAGAAAAATCAATAGAGTCTGCTTAGCCTGTAAAAGATTAGAAAACAAAATCCTTATAGCCATGATGTCTCTTGAAAGAGACACAAATCTATGCTATGAACTGTCCTAAACTTAATCTTTCCCAGCCTAGTTTCCTACCACCCGTTTAAGTAAGAAAACAGGGAGGTGAGTGTCTTTTTTACGATACAGATCTGCCACTATTACCCTAACAAGCAGTTCCACGATGTGTGCATGTCCATCAGCTGCAGCCATGTGCAAAGGGGTCCTGTCCACTTTGGTCCGGGCATCCCTGCTAACGCCTGCTCGAAGGAGCACTTCTGCTGTGGAATAATGACCATACTGGGCTGCAAGGTGGAGGGGTGATGTTCCAAGCTGTGGGAAAATAATACTCATTGAATATCAACTGTGTGCAGAGTCCTAAATCATTGTCGGAGGGACACAAATGAACAAGAGGTACAGTCTATGGTTCTTGTCCTTGGAGTGACAATCTGGTTGTGCAACAGGTGTAAAGAATATTAATTAAGGCAAATAAATATACCACCAATTACATAAGTGCTAAGTATAATGGATTTAAGTCAGATGGAAAGATTCCATATATATCAGGAAAGATTCTCTAAAGGACATGATGTTAAGCAAAGCTTAGAAGAAGGTTAAAAAAAAATGGATAAACCAGAACATTCTGCATTGAGTAGTGGAAAGGGGTAGGTGGGTTCAAAACAATTCTTAGGAAAAGGGCAGAGACTAGAAAGTCACTGAGATTTGCTGTGCAAATTTAACTGGCTGAACAGAAGTCTGTTGACACGGTAAAGCAAAGCAAAAAGACTGATGAGATGAAGAAGCAATAAAATTTTAGCAATGGCGTGTCAATAGCAATAAGAAGCCTGGATTGTCTCAAAGTAAATCTGTAAGAATTCTCTATCTTTGGCCACTTTGCCCAGAGATCTATTCCTTTCTTTGTGTTAGGTCCTTTATTTTAAGCCTATGCTGTTTATTTTTTGCATTCCATATATGTTCAGCCTCTGTGTCTGACTGACTTTAATTCACATTGCACTTTTCAGGTCTATTAATAGAAATGCTAATCTCATAGGTTTCCTTTTCTTCCTTTTTGTGAAGTGCTAAGTACCTGCTGGCCTCTAAAGTTATGAATTAATCACCCCAGGATAGAGGACACCAGTTCATTGAATTGTTAAAATTAGGCAATGCTAACTGACTGGCTCAGTCAGTAGAGCACATGACTCTTGATCTCAGGGTTGTGAATGTGAGCTCCACAATGGGTCTAGAGATTACTTAAAAATAAAATCTTTGAGGGGCACCTGGGTGGCTCAGTGGGTTAAGCCTCTGCCTTCAGCCCAGGTCATGATCTCATGGTCCTGGGATAGAGCCCCAGAGCCCCACATCGGGCTCTCTGCTCAGCGGGGAGCCGGTTTCCCCTACCCCCTCTCTGCCTGCCTCTCTGCCTGTTTGTGATCTCTCTCTCTCTGTCAAATTAATAAATAATATCTTTAAAAATAATAATAATAAAATTTAAAAATAAAATATTTGAAAAAAAAAAAGGAAGAAACTGGTAAGGCACACATTAGGAATAATTAAAAGAGCTTACCCAGTCTGTGGTGCAGAGATTACTTAAAAAAATAAAAATAATTAAATTAGGCAACCCTTGGGGCGCCTGGGTGGCTCAGTGGGTTGAGCCGCTGCCTTCGGCTCGGGTCATGATCCCAGGGTCCTGGGATCGAGTCCCGCGTCGGGCTCGCTGCTCAGCGGGGAGCCTGCTTCCCTCTCTCTCTCTCTGCCTGCTTCTCTGCCTACTTGTGATCTCTCTCTGTCAAATAAATAAATAAAATCTTTAAAAAAAAAAAAAATTAGGCAACCCTTTTAAAATCTACCTCTTCAAGATGGCTGCCTGGGCTCGTGAAATTATACCTTCCTCTTAATGTTCTTTTAGCAGTGGTAAAAAGGAAAGAAAATGCCTAGACTATTTCTGATTAACCAGGACACTTTAGAGAAAATGAAACACGTAATTCATTTAGTTTAGGAATGCACTCTTATTATACTGACTTTGTTTAATTTCTAGCTAATTACAGAAACCTATAACCTAAGTACACTCCAGGGAGAATTAAACCTTCAGGAAATACTCTAGGGGCACCTGGGTGGCTTAGTGGGTTAAAGCCTCTGCCTTCGGCTCAGGTCATGATCTCAGGGTCCTGGGATCGAGCCCCGCATCAGGCTCTCTGCTCAGTGGACAGCCTGCTTCCTCCTCTCTCTCTCTCTCTCTCTCTGCCTGCGTCTCTGCCTACATGTGATCTCTGTCAAATAAATAAACAAAATCTTTAAAAAAAAAAAAACCTTCAGGAAATACTCTAAAAAGCATTATAGAAAATCACAAGTTTGGGCGCCTGGGTGGCTCAGTGGGTTAAGCCGCTGCCTTCGGCTCGGGTCATGATCTCAGGGTCCTGAGATCGAGTCCCGCGTCGGGCTCTCTGCTCCTCAGGGAGCCTGCTTCCCTCTCTCTCTCTCTCTCTCTCTGCCTGCCTCTCCGTCTACTTGTGATCTCTGTCAAATAAATAAATAAAATCTTAAAAAAAAAAATCCCAAGTTTGTAATACCTTATAATTACCACCTATATATCCACAGGAGACACCTGCAATTTAGGAAACTAGAAGACTATATATTTAGATGAAACAAAGAAAATAAAACTCTTATAGGGAGAGTGAGGCAGAAAGGGAATGAAGAAAAATCAATAAAGTCTGTTTAGCCTTTAAGGAAAAGGTTGGAGGGATGCCTGGCTGGTTTAGTTAGTAGAGTGTGCAACTCTTGATCTCGGGGTTTTAAGTTCAAGCCCCACACTGGGTGTAGAGATTACTTAAAAATAAAATCTTTGGGAAAGAAAAAAAGGAAGAAATTGGTAACAGTGCACATTGGGAATAGTTAAAAGAACTTACCCAGTCTGTGGTGAATGGGGCGCCATTTGCCATCAATGTTCTCACTTCATCATCTTGGCCTTTTCTTGCTGCTTCTAGCAACCTCTTCCCCAAATCCACCAAAGACATCTTTATGCATAGGAACAAATGTTTTCGGGAAGCTATAACTCAAACATAAGGAAAGCTGCCTGTAAATGTTTTTAGAAGACCTCTTGTACTTAAACATATGCAAGACACTTCTCAAGCTGACTATCCAGTAAGGCGTTTCCTTTCTACCTCACCTAACACAATCAGATACTTGGCAAAGTTTCAGGCCCTAAATAGGTCTTTAGTGTTCAATATTCAGAAAAATCCTTTGGAAATCTGTGCAAAACATGACCACCTCTTTAGCTTAAGGAAGCACTAAAACAGCATTTCATCCCTTTGAAACAACTGTGAGTAGAAATGTTACGGCACATGAAAGAATGATGAACAAACACTAAGGCTATGCAGACTCAGATATGGCAGACACTTATAAAAAAATGAACAGAGTGAGCTGCCATTTCAAGGAAAACAACTGGCAGTATTTACTAACAATTATTAATTATAATTTTTATAATTTGAGTTTTCAAGCAAAAGTAGAATTTTGGGAAACTTAAATCTACCACTATGAATTGACAGCTTACTACAGACTTTTCTGATGAAATTAGTGGTAATACTAATGAATGTGATTTTTAAATATTGTATAATAAAATGCAACAACATTTGGATCGCCTGCATAATCTGCTGAACCAATATTTTTCAAATGACCAATGCATGTTATAAAATCATGTGTAAGTACAAACAAAGTGAAAGATCAGGGTGTTTTAAGGTAACAGAGTATAATAATTTCATTGATATGGTTTCAGATTCCTCACTGCAACTAACTTTTAAGAAACTGCCACTTTTGGGGCGCCTGGGTGGCTCAGTGAGTTAAGCCTCTGCCTTCAGCTCAGGTCATGATCTCAGGGTCCTGGGTTAAGCCCCGCAGGCTCTCTGCTCAGCAAGGAGCCTGCTTCCCCCTCTCTCTCTGCCTGTCTCTCTGCCTACTTGTGATCTCTGTCAAATAAATAAATAAAATCTTAAAAAAGATAGAAAGAAAGAGAGAGAAAGAAAGAAACAAACAAACAAACTGCCACTTTGGGGCGCCTGGGTGGCTCAGTCGTTAAGTGTCTGCCTTCAGCTTAGGTAGTGATCCCAGAGTTCTGGGATCAAGCCCCGCACCGGCCTCCTTGCTCCATGGGAAGCCTGCTTCTCCTTCTCCCACTCCCCCTGCTTGTATTCCCTCTCTCACTGTGTGTCTCTCTCTCTGTCAAATAAATAAATAAATAAATAAATAAACTGCCACTTTGTCCAGTGTTTGTGTAGCACCAAAGAACACCCATAATTACCTGAAAAAGCCATTTAACTTACTCCTCTTTTCTCCAAGTACATATTGCAACAGATTAAATGAAATAGTAAATATGAGAATGCAGCTGTTTTCTATTAAGCTAGAAGTTAGAGATTTGCAAAAATAATGAACAATGCTATTCCTCTTATTATTTAACTTGGAAGATATATTTTTCATAAAAATGTGTTATTTAGGGATGCCTGGGTGGCTTAGTAGGTTAAGTGACTACTTTTGGCTCAGGTCATGATCCCAGGGTCCTGGGATAGAGTCCCACATTGGGCTCCTTGTTCAGTGGGGAGCCTGCTTCTTCCTCTGCCAGCCACTCCCTCTGTTTGTGCTCTGTCTCCCTCTCGTTCTGACAAATAAATTTTTAAAAATGTGTTATTTAGGGGCACCTGGGTGGCTCAGTGGGTTGAGCCTCTGCCTTCAGCTCAGGTCATGATCTCAGGGTCCTGGGATCGAGCCCCGCATTGGGCTCTCTGCTCATCAGGGAGCCTGCTTCCGGCCTGCCTTCCTCTCTGCCTGCCTCTCTGCCTAATTGTGATCTCTCTGTCAAATAAATAAATAAATCTTAAAAAACATGTGTTATTTATGTTAACATGTACAGGATTTACAATTGTATTTTAACTAATAAGCATTTCAAAATTAATTTCTAAAACAGTAAATCCCAACAGATATAACACATTGGAATCCTCAATAATTTTTAGAAATATAAATGAGTCCTGGGGCACCTGGGTAGCTCAGTTGTTAGGCGCCTGCCTTCAGCTCAGGTCAGGATCCCAGGGTCCTGAGATACAGCCCCCCACTGGGCTCCCAGCTCAGTGGAAAGCCTGTTTCTCCCTCTCCCACTCTCCCTGCTTGTGTTCCCTCTCGTCAAAAAAAATAAATAAAATCTTAAAATAATAAATATATATATACACATATACATATAAATGTGTGTATATAGATAGATAGATAGATACACACACACATACTGAAACCAGAAAATTTGAGAATCACTGGCTTAGGCGAATCATTCAGCTACTATAGCATTTAATTTTCCAGTCTATATCATTGAGCATTGTCCTCAAACACGGGTGTCTGGGAGACCACCAGGAGCTTGTTCAAAATGAGTATACGCCAGGCTCCAGTCCAGATCCTTTGAATAAGTATGTTCAAGAGAAGAGGATGGACTTTAATAGTATGAACCTCTATGTCAGGCTTTACAACTCAAGAAAATGCTGGAGAAAAAAATGATAGCAATGCCTTATTACAGAAAACCGACACTTTGCATTTCTCCATGATTGCCTTCCTTTTACAGTATCAAATTAAATTTTCAATCTAGGTTTTTTTTTATTACCAACAGTTAAAAACAAGAGCAAAGGGTGCCTGGATGGCTCAGTTGGTTGAGTGACTGCCTTCGTCTCAGGTCATGATCCTGGAGTCCCAGGATTGAGTCCCACATCAGGTTCCCAGCCATGGGGAGTCTGCTTCTCCCTCTGACCTTCTCCCATCTCATGCTCTCTCTCACTGTCTCTCAAATAAGTAAATAAAATCTTTAAAAAAAAAAAAAAAAGAGCAAATTTTTTGGTGGTTTATTAGTCATAAATGACTCCCTCACATTTTCTCAAATTACACTATATATAAAAGTTGTATCACCAAATCTCAAACACTTTCAACATAACTGATCACAAAGGGGAAGAATTCCCTACAAAGGGATGTTCAGAAATGTGGCAAAAAGCAGAAGTATCCTAATAGTGAAATTTCAGCTATTCTCTACCGTAAAAAAATAGTCAGTTGAAGGTTGAGGTATCTGCTTAAGGAGAAATCTGGTTTGCTTCACATTCTGGGGAAGCTGATACATCCAGAAAACAGACCCTTTATTTATTTTTTTTTAAACTTTTTTGGACTTTATTTAATTTATTTATTTTAAAGATTTTATTTATTTATTTGACAGACAGAGAATACAAGTAGGCAGAGAGAGAGGAGGAAGCAGGCCCCCCGAGGAGCAGAGAGCCCGATGTGGGGCTCGATCCCAGGACCCTGGGATCATGACCTGAGCCCAAGGCAGAGGCTTTAACCCACTGAGCCACCCAGGCACCCAAAACAGATCCTTTAAATAAGTTTATTTTATCCCATTGCAACTGTTGTCTTCAGCACCTGAACTCTTGCCAGGTACTTCTTTAAGAAAAAAAATAATATTTTATTTATTTATTTGACAGAGAGAGACACAGCGAGAGAGGGAACACAAGAAGGGGGAGTGGGGGAAGCAGGCTTCCCGCTAAGCAGGGAGCCCAATGCGGTCCTCAATCCCAGAACTCTGGGATCATGATTTGAGCCAAAGGTATACACTTATGACTGAGTCACCCAGGTGCCCCTTGCCAAGTATTTCTGAGGTTGATTTTTCTCACCATAGTCTGCCTTCAAACATACATTAATTGTATCACTATTTATTTATTTATTTAAGAGAGAGCTTGAGTGCATGAGCAGGGGAGGGGAGGTGCAGAGAGAGAGTGAAAGAATCTTAATCAGGCTTTGGTGCTCAGCGCAGAGATTGAGGCTGGGTCAATTGCACAACCCGGAGATCATGACTTAAGCCAAAATCAAGAGTCAGATGTTTAACCAACTGAGCCACCCAGGAACCCCACTTATCTTTTTTTTTTTTTTTTAAGATTCTATTTATTTATTTGAGAGAGAGAGAGACAGCAAGTGTGGTGTGGGGCAGAGGAAGAGGGATAGGTAGACTCTGCACTGAGTGTGGAGCCTGACACTGGGCTTGATCCCATGACCCCAAGATCATGACTTGGGACAAAATCAAGGGTCTGACGCTCAACCCACTGAACCATCCAGGTGCCCCCACTTTTCTTTAACCGTATTTGTGAGCCCATGTATCAGTATCACTAAATGGCAGCTGACCCAGATTTGTAATCCCATTTTTTTTTTTTTAAGATTTTATTTATTTATTTGTCAGAGAGAGAGAGGGAGAGAGAGCAAGCACAGGCAGATAGAATGGCAGGCAGAGGCAGAGGGAGAAGCAGGCTCCCTGATGAGCAAGGAGCCCGATGTGGGACTCGATCCCAGGACGCTGGGATCATGACCTGAGCCGAAGGCAGCTGCTTAACCAACTGAGCCACCCAGGCGTCCCAGCCATTTTTTTTTAACATTTTATTTATTTATTTGACAGAGAGAAATCACAAGTAGGCAGAGAGGCAGGCAGAGAGAGAGGAGGAAGCAGGCTCCCTGCTGAGCAGAAAGCCCGATGCGGGGCTCGAACCCAGGACCTGGGATCATGACCCGAGCTGAAGGCAGCAGCTTAACCCACTGAGCCACCCAGGTGCCCCTGTAATCCCATTCTTTAAATAGGCCATGAAAAGTCTTATTTCTTACTATACAAAGATACAGTTAAACTTTGGGATTAGAAAATAAGCAGGGTGTTGTATTTATCACCTGATATAAAAGAGGTCTCCTAGAATTGTGTTCAAGGTTCTTTCCTCCTCTACCCTGAGTCTTTTGAGTTAACCTGAAGCATCTCTCCAAAGTAAAAGCAAAATGTATTTTTAAAATAACAGCATTTGGGGGAGGGGATATTATGTGCCATTCTCCCATAGCCTACCTAAACACTGACAATACCCACCAGAAAAGAGATGAAGCCAGTAAGATGAGGACAGTCTGGGCACCTTAAAGCTTCCTGATTATTAAAAACACGGGGAAAATATTCTCCCTTACTGGATGTACCTCTACTTTCCCTATACATGAAGTGAAAAGACAACATCTGATTCAATTTGTCTCTTAGGATTTTGGAGATTAATAAAGTAACAAAGCACCCACTCCCCTTCCCAAACAAACATACAAGAACTCTGAATAACTCTGTTTTAATAACTAACGAAGTGCTTGAGCTCTCAACGACAAAGTACTCTATTATCACAGAGTAATTACATTTGTTGATGTAAGAATTTGGGTGGGGCAGTTCTGTTTCACTGTTTCAAAGCCTGTGTGAAAATAGATACTTAAGAGCATCTCAATTGGACTGGGTGGGTCAAATGGCACGATGAAGATGTGGTCCCGACAGCCAAAAATGTTAAAATTGCTGGGGGTAAGCCACAGAATGTCTTTTTCTACAGATGTTTAAGAGAAAGAAGTACTTTTGGGAAGAGAGAAAAGAATGGGATAATCTCTGCTGGCTCGAGGAAATCTGTGAGGACAGGAGAAACCTAACGAGAAGGAGAAATGGAATTGAAGAGTCCATGTTCTGACGACTTTCCTCCCACTTTTTCTATTGCAGACGTCTCCACCAGCCGCCAGCTGCACAAACAACTGTGCAACAACTGGGGGCGGAGCCCGTACTACTCTTGCTTCGATTACTGAGCTCACTCAAAATCTTTAGGCTATTACCGAGGTCAGAGAATTGAGAGTCCCCGTTTCCTCCTTCATCACAAATCCTCCAGTTCCAAACAGCAACGTTGTCTTTCTGGAAGAGTCAATGGGGGTAAGGAGCCAAGGCCGCAGCCCCCAGCCCGGACTCCGGGCTGCCCCCTGGCGGTCACCTCCATGGCCTTCGCTTCCCTGGGTCCAGCTCCCCAGCCCCAGGTCTTACACCCACCCCCTTCTTCACCTCCCAGTCCCCTCCCCTTCCTCCCAGCAGCATCCCCTTCCTCTTCATCCCCCCTCCCCGAGCTGCCCCCGCGGGGCGCCGCTCTGTCTGCACCCAGAAGTCCGGGGCTGGGCTGGGACGCGTTGCAACTTCTCACAGCAGTCTCCATTCCAGCCCCGACGCCCCCCCAGAGTCCACACGTCTTCTTCCCTCTCACCTCCTCGTCCGGGACGCTGCCGGCCGCGCTTTCACCGAGCCCGCCAGTTTGGTCCCGTTTCTTTCTCTAGTTAACACTCCCTGTCACTGACGGTTACTTTTTGGCCTTTTCATATATGCATATTTTGGGGGCCTTTAACCCCCCCTCGTGGAGAAATGGAGGCAACAAAATGGCGGACCCGGAAGTGAAGACTAAGCGAATACAATCTTTGGCGGAGGGATCTATGAAGAGAATGATCAGAAAAGCCAAATTTACATTCGAACCGAAGGGCAATGCACCTCGAGGATCATAGTCTATCCATCGAAGGATTTTTGAGGTGGAAAAGTGTGTATCCGAGATAACCCAGGCGGGACTATTTAACGAGGCGGAGGATTGTTGATTACGTGTCTTACGTGTCGTATAGTTCCGGTAGGGGACGGACCTGATGGTTTCTTTTGGCGCCAAGAAGCCGGGGACGTGTCGAGGACGGGTCGGAGCCAGTGTGGGCCCTGTTCCTTTTTGGTACCCTGACTGGGGGATCCTAAGGTTGACGGGAAAACCTTGTTTCCCTGTTTCAGCTTCAGGTGAAGCAGCTGGGACGTCCCCGGCTTTGTGCGCGAATTGAACGCTAGTGCCCTGACGGTCGTATTTCCAAATTTACAGCATGAATATAGGGAGCCCGGAACTAAGCTGTCTCCTCAGAGCAGTGGACCAGATAATGGGTTCATTTCTTTTTAGAGGCTTGGAAGGGGATACCGTTTGAGTTTGCAGGTCCACTTACAGATTTTACATACCAAACGATTCTCATCTTCACCCCACCCATGGCCCCCCACCCTAAGGGCTGCGAGAAGTCGGGAAAGAAGCCCTTCAAAAATAAGTGAACATAGGAAAGGACACGTCACGGCTCCACTCTCTATTAAATTTTGTCTTTTGTCTTTTATGGTGGGCCTTTCAAAGCCTAAGATTTTCGTGTTTTTTTAACTTGCTAGTGTCATCTTTAAAGTATTTACGGTATACTCCCCATCTAAGATCCATTTTGATATTTACGGCTTTCCTTTTTGAGAGTCAAAATCTTGTTTCATTCCTGTTTACATCCTCTGTAAAAGCTCAAATAGTAGGGGTTTTTTGTTATTTGTTAATGAGATGAGACAGATAACACATTTGGGTGAATTGGTTTGTTAGGCAACTAGACTTACCACCTCAGTATGTTCGTAGCCAGTGTGCAAGTAGAAAAGTGGTTGGTTGTCCCCTTTCTTCCTAGCAGAAGGGGAAAGAAAGGCTAATTTCGGGGACCTATACTGCTTTTCTTTGAAGAGAGAGAAAACTAGAATCCAGTCCTGGGATCGAATGTCTTTATTAAAGAAATGAGTAAATGGCAGCACAAATCAGCAGCAATAATTTTGGAAGGAATGAGGGGACAAGGTATAGGATCATAAATGTGATTATTTCATGGTCTCAAGGTAGCTGAAGAACTGTGCCTGGGGCCCACTGATCGGTATTACACATTGCAGATGCAAGGCAAGACTAAAACACTAAAGGCCAAACCCTATGCCTTTCAGAAACAGAATCAAATCCTTACAGATTATCACAGTAGTCAGTAAGATTGCATCTTAAGAATTGAAATTGGAGTCATTTTCCTCAGAGTTTTCAGTTAGGAGCAAAGTTACAAAGTGAGTAGGCTTAAAGGAGGAACACCCTTTTGAGAATGTAGTTATTTCTGAAATGATTCAGTGCTTTCCCCTATTTTAATTTTCCATGATGTATTACTTCCTTTTGTTTTATACTTTTAACTATCCCCAATTTCTCTGAGAAAACATATAGTATAAGGAGCAGGATCAAATAGCAAGAGACTTATCACCTTAGCCATCTAGAAATCCTACCGTCTTATCGCAGATAATCTCAAATTAAAACTTCTAAGGTTTTCATCAACGGTGGAAGAAAGATTTATGTTTACTGATTTGGAGCAGGAAATTAGGTGTAATCAATCTCTAAAGCTGATTAAAATGAAGTAAAAAAAATCCACCCTCCATTTTGTACCACTGTACTACTCTCTGGTGCCCCCACCAGGCCTGTTTTCTGGAATTAGTTGGGGCCGTGGTGGTGGTGGTGGGGGAAATCCCTGTGATCCAATACTCCATTGCTCAAACCTTTTTCTTTGTGGCTTAAGGGCTTTTGAGAGAAACTGATAAAATAGATAAATAAATAGATAAATAAATAAATAAATACAACACAACTCTGGCAGATTAATCAGCACCACCTCAACACAACAGAGGGGAGAGAGCAAGATTAATAGGAGGAAAGGGTGGAAAGGAAGGGGCTTGAAAGGGAAGACAGTGACAGCAGGTGCTGGGAAAGAGAAGTCTTGGGCTTAAAGCAAGTCCAATTCAAAGGAGTGGATGCTAGCAATGGGAGCTCTCCAGAAGTTGAAGGTGCTGTATTCAAGGAGGGAATCGCCTTCAGAGTTTTTCTCCTGTTCTCCAGTTGCTTGCCCGGTCATTTTGCCAGCGCTGCTGTCTTTGATCTTGTAGATGGATGTATCTGACAGACCCAGGCCTTCCAGCTCCGACAGATCCAGTTCTGGAATGGGCATCCTCCAGAAAAGAAAAGAGCTGTACTGGCTACTCACAGGATCCCTCATAACTTCCTAGAAAGAAACCACTTGTTAGTCTTCATGCTACAGCAACCTCTTCATGTTCCATGGCCTTTCCTTATTAAAGACTTTACATCCTCATTTCTTCTGTACATGATCCAAGTTCCCTAGAACAAGCTTTGGGACCCCCTACCTTTATTACCATTTTTTATCATTTCCTAACTTCTCCCCATCTTGGAATGACTTGCTTCACTGCCTACTTCTTCAAGTCAATTTGGGTCTGGTTTTCAAGGCTTTCTAGAATTTGGCCCCAACCTTCCTAGCAGTAGCACATTCTCTGCTAGTTATGCTCATTCCTGTCTTGCTTAACTTTCTCTACTCTTTGCTTTTTCCCTCTATTCTCCCATCTTTTTTTTTTCTTAATTTACTAGATTCCCAGTTTATTATAAAAGACTATAACCAAGAACAGCAGATGGAAGAGATGCACAAGGCCAGGGGTATAGGGAAAGGGTACAGAGCTTCCATGCCCTCCCCTTCCATGCAGAGAACAGGTGCACTGTTCTCCCACATCTGCACGTGTTTTCACCAACCTGGAAGCTCCTCTACTCTCCGTCTTAAAGTAAGTACTCAAGTTTCAAGACTACTGGAGGAGTCCCTAGAATTCCCTAGGAACTCAAGTCCTTAGAGGAATCTTTCCCCCAAACCCTTATGTTAGTAAATCCTTGACTTTTTCCTGATTTTGGCTTAATAGGTACCTCTAAAAAGGGCTTCCATGACATTTCTGCTTTCTGTTTTCCTCTCTGCCTTTTAAACCCTGCTATAAACTCACCTTTTCCAGGAAAACGTCCTTAAACTTACTCAGCTCCCTCTATTCTGTATCTTCCAGCATCTCCACCAACACCCTGTATAGTTTTACCTGACTATTACCAGTTTGGGGCTACAGATCACTGTTATGTGTCTTGAATAGGGATAGTCTCTCTCCTTCAAGAAACAGAGTTTCCCTAAAGGTAAAAACCAGTCGACTTTACACCTTCTTCACAAGTGCTAGGCTTTGCACACAATAAGACATTCAAGGCTGCTGATTAATTTTCTCTATTTAATACAATCCATACCTTGCCAACCCCCCACCTATTAGCCCACAGATAAGCCTTAATAGCCTCTATTTCTCTCTAGCCTACCTCTCCTTCAAAACAAAACCCAGGTACTAAAAGAATTTTCCTACGCTCTAACAAGACCTTTTTTTCTCTGATCCCAATGCTAGATTATACCTGAAAGCAAATGGATTGGAAATTCCAGGTAAGGAGAGTAAGAGCTTAGGGGAGCCTGGGTGGCTCAGTGGGTTAAAGCCTCTGCCTTCAGCTCAGGTCATGATCCCAGGGTCCTGGGATCGAGCCCCGCATCGGGCTCTCTGCTCGGCGGGGAGCTTGCTTCCTCCTCTCTCTCTCTACCTGCCTCTCTGCCTACTTGTGATCTCTGTCTGTCAAATAAATAAAAAAATAAAATCTTTAAAAAAAAAAAAAAGGAGAGTAAGAGCTTAGATTGGAAGGAGAAAAGTCCCTCATCAGAATTAAATACTTTTCCATGCTTTAAGGAGTGCTCCTATCGCCTTTTCTGCTCATTCCACCCACACCCTGATGTTATATGACTATTATATCTCCTTCCCCCTGCTGGTTACTAGCCAAGAGAAGGGGTCAAAGCCTTGGTTGAAATATTCCCAAAGAAGCAGAAAGAACGTTCCATTGCCTCCAAAAATAGAACCCCCGTTTGAAAAGGCCTTCCTCCCAACGCACTCCATTGGCTCCTACCAGACCTTGAGGCTCATAAATAGTGGCCTTAAATAGGTTCCCAACTGCCTCCATAAAACGTGTTAGGTGAACATGATAACCACTATACTACAGAAATTCTATAACCCCAGATAATGTGAACCATCTCAACTAGGGCCAAAAAAGAAAGCCTTAATCTAGAGCGTGGTTATGTGTGATTGTAGGGGCTTCAGGACTGGAGAGTGGGCAGACTAGGATGTTTTTAATGTTAAAAGTCAATTGTCAATTGCTCTTGCTCTTCTGAGGTTCAGGCTCCAAAATAAACCCTGGGAACTGAGCATTACTCAGCAGAGAAGCTGCTTAGAAGGAGGGTTATGTGGGGACTGGAACAGGGTGGGGGAGCATGTTAGAAAGGTGAGGTCATCATCCTATGATATTCAGCTCTGATCGTCTCCACGGTAATTTGCAGAGACATGTACAGAAAGAGAGCTACAAAAAATGGTTGTACCTCTCAGCCTACCAACTCCAGGCTTCAGTCTGGGACTACGGAGATTCCAAGATGCAAACCTCAGGTATCGTCAGTGTTACTGGCTACAGACTGACCACAGGGATTTTTTCCCCTTGTTTTTTCTGATTTCTTTTCTTTTCTTTCTTTCCTTCCTTCTTCCCTCCCTCCCTCCCTCCCTTCTTTCCTTCCTTCCTTTCTTCCCCCTTCCCCAAGATTACCAGTTATTTGCCTAACCTTGCTGGCTTTTTTTTTATATCCCCTCCCTTAACAGTCCCCTCCAGAGCAAGCTTAGTATAAATGCTGGGCACATGTACATTCTTTTTTTCTTTTAAAGATTTTATTTATTTATTGGACAGACAGAGATCACAAGCAGGCAGAGAGGCCTGGAGAGAAGCAGGCTCCCTGCTGAGCAAGACCCTGGGATCATGACCTGAGCCAAAGGCAGAGGCTTTAAACCCACTGAGCCACACAGGCGCCCCCGCATGTACATTCTTTAAAAAACAGAATCATGGGGGGGGGAAGAACATACAATTTTATAATTTTTTTTTTAATTTATTTATTTGACAGACAGAGATCACAAGCAGGCAGAGAGGCAGGCAGAGAGAGAGGAGGAAGCAGGCCCCCTGCCGAGCAGAGAGCCCGATGCGGGGCTCGATCCCAGGACCCTGAGATCATGACCTGAGCCGAAGGCAGCGGCTCAACCCACTGAGCCACCCAGGCGCCCCAGAACATACAATTTTAAAACTAAGAAACATGTTAGGAGTGCCTGGCTGGCCTGGTTGAACTGTGTGACTGTGTGACTCTTGATCTTGGGGTTGTGAGTTTGAGCCCCATGTTGGATGTAGAGATTACTTTCAAAACGGAATAAATAAAATAAATATATTCTGGGCTATAACATAGTGTATATTTAAAAAGAAAGAAAGAATGTGAGAAATTATCTAGTGACTTCTGAAGCCTTCTAGGCAGTTGGACCCAGTCTCATTCCCAATCTGGTCTTTTTTTGCTGTACTGTAAATAGATAGTTACCCACAGTTTTATATAATCCTATACCATATTCTCAAAACTTGCAAGAATTGTTTTGGTTCCTGAAAAACAGATATTCAGTGGATTAGGTGTTGAATGTTCCCAGTGACTCTGATCTGAATGATGAAAATGCAAAAAAGGCAGTAGAGAGCAAGCTAGAATCTGAGACAGGGAAAAAGCTGTTTGACAAACTAACTCCTTTTCTTAAAACCAGAGTATATATAAAAAGTGTCCGAACAATCCCTGAGTGTCTGGCAGAGTGTATCTTGCAATTAAAAATGCTAAAGGAAATTCTATGAAGTATTAAGTCACAAGGCCTAAAATCTCTGGCTATGCCTTGACTCAGAGACTGTACAGAGGGTACAAATGCATTCTAGAAAGACACTCACATAAGCATGTACGGCATTTAAAATCAAGTCAAGGGGCGCCTGGGTGGCTCAGTGGGTTAAGCCTCTGCCTTCGGCTCGGGTCATGATCCCAGGGTCCTGGGATCGAACCCCGTATCGGGCTCTCTGCTCAGCGGGGAGCCTGCTTCCCTTCCTCTCTCTCTGCCTGCCTCTCTGCCTACTTGTGCTCTCTCTGTGTCAAATAAATAAATTAAAAAAAAAAAATCAAGTCAAGAACACTGACTACACAGAAAATTGAAACAAAGCACCATCTACATTACATTACATTCATTAGTAATGAACTTTTGGTATTTAATATAGTATGGATTTAATTTCCAAATTTTGCAAGAGGTCCCTTTCCAGTAAGCTTTCTCTTCCCCTCCCCAAATGTTCTCCACCCATACATACCTCATCTTTCTTTACATTCCTTAAAGGGCTTGGACCACAATATACACTCAATAAATACATCTAACTGTCCTTCATTTTAAATTATCCAGATATTTTAGGCAAAGGTGATTTCTAAATATCATCATCTATTCTTAGAGATACATGATTAGCAAATGTATAGTATAAAAAGACACACTCTGAGCCACACAGACACACCCAAATACCCTTTGTCTAGACCCTCTGTGGGAATCCAAGGCCTGCCCAACAGGGCCTTGCTGTGTCATGCTGCCACCTTAAGGGGGTGTAGGGAGGAGGACAAGGGATGGTGGTTGGAGGGGATGGAAGCTCTCTGGCATCTCATTATATTTGCCTCATTCTGGTCTTGGATTTTCCTGTTGGCCATGTCCTTCCCTCATCTACTCCCAATGAGCTGCAAATAAGCCTTTCCAGAATCTGGGACCATATGCACCTTTTCTGGGCTATACTGTTTTCAAAATGGGATCAGGCAATTCTCCAACACAACACAAAGGCCCCCACCTTCCTACTTCAAGCTGCCTCTTTCTTTGGAGCAAAGGTTTGTTACAGGGAGCAGGAGACTGTTATCTCACCCCTTCTCGCAAATTCCCTCCTATGGAGACAAATCAGTTTGGGGTGAAGGTAGACACACAATGGAACACGATGGGGAAAAAAAAAAAAAGTAAATATGGGGAAGTACAGGTTAGAGCAATACAGGAAGACTAGGGATTCATCAAAAAACACGAAAAACATTAAACATTCATCAAAAAATCATAGCTTGAAAAAGATACAGATAACAACTGAGGATAATAAAATACATAAGACAAATTATAGGAAAATAGATAAATGCTGAGAAATGATAGCTACATGTATATTCTTAGAAATTATTGTTAGAAATTAATGTCTGTGGATTAGAAGGCAAGGATGGAGATCTTAGCAAAGAGATAGAACAAGGGGACCAAAAAACCATTCATTGTTCATAGCGGCCCCTTCTCTCCTCTTGAGCTGTCCCCCAACCTTATCCTTATTTAGGGTCTTCAACCTAACCAGAAGCAGCTACTCTTCTATCTTTGCAACCCCTTGCCCCCCTTCCCTCAATTAATTTACCTGTTATCAGTGAATTACTAGTGTGTTCCAAAGATGGAAGGAGTACCTCGGGGGGTGGGGGGTGCTCCGGCGTCTGCTCTGGGCTGGAGAAAAAGAAAGCTGTTTGGGCTTTGACGGCTTTGTCTTCTCACTCCCTCTCCCTCTCCTGTGGCAGAGTCTATCTGTTCAGTCTCCCCCTGCAATGCAGCCCCTCCTAAGAAGGGCGGAAAGACTCCCCGCCCCCTCCTTGCCTGACTCGGCTAATTCAAATGATAGGTTCCAGAACACTTTAGGGAGGGAGAAAGGATTAAAGCATCTCCGTAGGCTTATTGGTCGGCACAATTATTCCCGAGCTCTTACAGCACCCCCATGCTGACTGGGGTGCAATGAATGAACAGTTAATTGTCCCCTAATTTTAGGGTTATGGATTAAAAAGCTTAGCTCTAGATAACAATAGAGGAGTGTCCCCTTATTCCCCAATTTAAGGATTTCAAGTTACGAAGTGTTTTATTTTTGAGAATCAGAAAAACCCTCCACCCCTTCCTCCAATCCCTGCCCTCCTCTGGCGGCTCGCCTCCGCACCCTCACAATGAGTAAACCTAGCCCCGTTCCACTTTGGGTAGAGCACGAGAGAACTTGGTGGGGGGTATGTGTGTGGGGGGAGGGTGTGTGTGTATGTGTGTGTGTGTGTTTGTGTGTGTTGGGGGGTGCCCCCGCGAATCTCTCAACTTGGCTGGCTCCGGGGGGTCGGGGGTGCTCTTATTAGTTTTGCCCCGCAAGGCCTGGCGCGCAAAGGGGACGTGCTACTGCGGACTGCGCAGCTCCGGGGTCCGGCTCGGTAGAAAGCCCCCGCGTGGGCTCCATGTCCTCAGTCCGTGCAGCAGGGGCGGCGGCCGTCGGGGGCTGCCAGGCCCCCTCCCACTGCCCCACGCGGTGCAGTGCCTCACCAGTCCAGCGGGGAGCAGTGCGCCCAGCTCCGGTCCGGACGGGTTTCGTAATCGCGTCGCCGCCGTTTCCGCCCTGAGCCAGCTCCACCTCTGCCGGCCCGCCCTCGGCTCCCCCGCCGCGCCGAGGAGCCAGGCCGGGAAGCCCACACTGGAGGGCCCGACGCCGGAGCCCCCCCACCCGCCGCAGCCGCACGCCTCGATGCCGGAGCGCTGCAGGTGAGACCGCCGCGTGGGTCCCGGGCCCGGGCGCCCCGCCTGTGCTGCGGGGCGGAGGCGCACCGGATGCTGGGGGTGGGGGAGGAGGGAGGCCAGGGCAGCGGAGATGCTGGGTGGGTGGGAGAAGGGGTGCCCTCCCCGAGACACAGTCTCGGTCCCCTCCACCGTTCGTGTGCTGCTCAGGCCGAGGCCGCTGTAGAGGGCAGGAAGGGACTGGGGTGTCGGGGTGCTGGGGGGGCGCGGGGAGGCGAGGTGGGGAGAAGTTCTCGAGACTCACTGAACTCCGTGGTGGCGTGGGCCGGACAGAGCGAAGCCCAGTTGGGTCCTGGAAGGGCTGAGTCTGAGCCCGAAGCAACCACGGAAGACAGTGACAGAATCCGAAAAATTCACAGCAAGATCCCAATCCTGGTTCAGCTTTGGGAGGAGCAGAGGATTTCTGGGTAGAGTTGGGGAGTGGGCAGAAATGGAGTCTGTGGGACTGAATCTGCTGGGGAGGGAGCTTAGGGCCCAGCCCTGTTTGCTCGTAAGTGACCCCCACCCCCACCCCCGCAAGACCTTTCTTGTGGGGAGAGGACAGAGTTGGTGCTGGGGCAGATGCCTGTCAGTTGACTGAAAAGTGCGTGTCCGCCTACTTCTCTGTTGCCCCTCAGCACCCCTCCACGTCTGGAGGTCTCCACAAGGAACCAGTTGCAGCCCCGGGCTTGGAGCCAGAGTTGCCCACTCTGTTCTCTCAATTCTCTTTCTCTTTCTCTTTCTCCAGCTGCTTCTTGTGAAGGCTTGTCGGGCAGCGGGTTGGAGGCCTTGAGGCTGAAGGCAGCGGGACCGGGAAAACCGGTTTCAGGCTAGGATAGGACCCAGGAACTACCTCTGTACATCCTTCCTCTCTGGAACCTTTCTCCCATCCCTTCTCCTGCTCACTCCCCAATAGTTTGGAAGCTCCCTAAGCCCCAATGTGACCTTGGTGTCTCCTAGCTCCCTATTTCACCCTTCTTGTTTGGGACTCTGGCCCAGTTCTCAGTGCTACTTGTCTGTCAGGATAAGGCCTTACATAGTCCAATCCTGATTCCTCCTGCTGTTTTCCCAGCCCCTTCCCTCCCCTGGGGGTGGGGGGGCCCTAAAATCGTGGGCATTGAATTTGGGTGCCTCTTCTTCCTGCGCTTACCAGCTCAGGACTTCATTTTTCCTCAACCCACTCTTCTCTAGATATTTTTAAAAAGGAGAGTGGCTCTTACTTCCTTTTCTGGCCCTGTCCCCTCACCACCGCCCACATTCACCCTGCCCAGTCTTCTCCACACTCTGACCCCACTGCCAAGTTTTAGAGACCCTTATGTTCTGTGTCCTAGGGAATGGAATTTCCTGGTCACTTCTCATCATCATTGGCCCTTTCGTGCCAAGTCCCACATACACTTTCCCTCCACCCAGCTCTGGCTAGGTCCCTGGAAAGGGAACAGAAACGTCCTTGTTCCCTCCACTGCCCCTTTCGCTCCCTCTCCACTCCCCTCTTCTCTCCTCTCCCCTCCCACCCTCCACTTCTGTCCACTCAGCTTTGTTCAGAACGGGTGTTGGGAGAGAGTCCATGCTCTGTACAGTCTGTCTGGTGGTATTGGGGGTTTCCTCTGATTCTTCATTGTTTTCTTCATTCCCCCGCCTGCAACCCTTACCAGCTGCCACCACCACCATTGCGACAAACCCTGTGACTGACTGACTGACTTCCCCACTGACCACAGCTCCCCTCTCTGGACGCTGTGTTCTGACTTCCGCCCTGTCTCATTACTCCTCCCCTCCAGTGGTGGGAAGGGAAGTAAGCCAAACCCGAGGCTTCTGGGTTCTTCTCTCCCTTTCAGGCTGTATCTCCGTGTGCCTGTGATCTCATCCCAGGGTTATTAAAAAAAAATCCTCTCAGTTCTTAGATGAGTTTAGGATGCCAGAGCATTGGGGTTCCAGGCCTGGAAAGGAGGGAGATTCCTGTTCATGCTGGAGTGTAATATTTGTGAAACTGCCCTGTTTGGAATCTTTGAGGTTGCCTATATCATAGGCCTGGAAAAGTGCAGTGAGCACAGAGGAAACCCAGATGGGCCCTACCCTGGCTGGCAGTGAGGAAAAGGGGAGGAAGTTCTTCCTTGGACACTAACGCTGTTATAAAGTTCCTTGTGTCTGGTTGGCTGATGAAGCTTGGGAATGGAAGTGGTGAGAAGGGAGGAGAGAACAGGTTCCAGCATGAGGGGAGGAGGCAGGTGGGGAGGCCTGGGCCTTATGGGGCGTGAGGCAGAGCAGAGTGGCACGATAGGACATGTGAAGAGGGTGGGGAGGCTGGAGAAAGATTCCTTGTGGAACAGACGACACCAAGTACACGTACCTGCAACCAGCGTGCAAATGGTCTGTACCAGACACACATGCACAGAAATGGCTGTGCCACCAGAGTGCACACACAGGTGGACACACAGGACACAGATAAACAGGCTGCAGACAGCCTTCAGGAAGGATCTCAAGGTCAAGTAATAAACTGTTCGGTGGCTTCTGGGAGAGGTTGGATCTCAGCTGAGGGAAATGAGGAGGAGCAAGGTCAGGGAATCAAGAGGGAAGAAATTCCTCAGTGTAGGAAAAGTCTTTTTTGAGGTCCAAACTGCTGCAGTTAGTCACCCACAAACTGGGCAGTCAAGGTCTCAGTCTTAAAATCTAGATGTTCAGGGTAAGGTAAGGAAAAAGGGAGGGACAAGGGCGGAGGTCTTGTTTGTGAGAACGAAAAACCACCATTTCCTCTTCAAAGTCACTTAACTGCCCCTCCCTTTCTGCCCTAAAACCGGGGAGAAGGAACGTGGGGCTTGTAGCACCCCCAAACTGTGCTCATTTCTGCCACTAGCCTTTGGCCTCTCCCATCCTCGCCCTAAATGCTTCTGTCCTCTTCCTTTCCCTTGGTTCCAGCAGCTGCAGCACCTCTACCCCTTGGTGCCCTTCTGGATCTTTTCTTTCTCTGGGAGTCAAATTGGGAGGTCCTTCTGTTTAGAGGGGTTAGTGTTGGGTGCAGGACTTGGGCCTTCAAGGGAGAATAAGATCTGGCCTCATTAGGAGGCTTGTCAAGGAGGGAGACATGGTAGAGGTGGGATTTCTCACTAACTTTCTTTTCTTTTCACTTTCTGCTCGTCCAGGGTTCTGCGTGTGAGGAATACATAACCTCGTGCCTGCCTGCTCAGCCTGCCTTGGCCCTGCTGACCCCTCAGTCCGAGACGCTGACCCTCCCTGCCCAGCCAAGGGTACCTTGGACACTGCTGTCTCCAGACTCGTGTGGCTGAGTAGACTCAGGCTGTTGTCACACCTGAAGGGACGGAAGAGTGGGCAGTCAAGGCACCAGAGCAAGAGCCCTCTGGGGTCTCAGGCAGAGGAGTGAAACTGGAACCATCAGGGAACATGAGTGAATTTTGGCACAAATTGGGTTGCTGTGTGGTAGAGAAACCCCAGCCGGTGAGTCCCCCAGCCCCGACCCCCCACCCTGGTGCACAAAGAATCTAGTTACCCGGGCCTGTGAGGCAGACACACCACCTACGATCTGATGCCTAGAAGGCACGCTGCTTGCTTCCCTCTCCTTCAGGATAGTCTCTCTGGCCAGGCAGGTGTGTATTTAGAATCGAGGGGGACTGCGTGATGGCGGAAGTGAATTGTCCTAGCTATCACTTCCTGTTTTTGTCCGTTCTCACTTGGGCAGGGGTTGTAGGTAGAGCTTAATACCTGTCAGTTTTTCCCATTGTTTCCTCATCAGCCAGAGGTGACTTGGATATGTCCTTTCTTTGTCTAGTATATCCTCTGCGGGCCCCTGCCCTCACCACCCTCCCTATGTCCTTTCTGTGTTTATGTTATTCCACACTTGGCTTTCATACCCTAGTGATTTCCTTGTTGTGATGCCACATACCCTTGCCCATTGGGCCTTTAGCTCTACCTCTAGTGATTTTCAGGACTCTATTCCCTTATTCCAGTTGCAGACCTAACTCCCCCCTGTCTTCTCTAAACAGAAGAAGAAAAGGAGACGAATTGACCGGACCATGATTGGGGAACCAATGAATTTTGTCCACCTGACTCACATTGGCTCTGGGGAGATGGGGGCCGGAGATGGACTTGCCATGGTAACAAGAGAATGGGGAGAGAGTGATATGGGATTGTGGCCTAGAACCTTTCCCCTTTGCTGAAGTGTGAGCTGGGGACATGGTAAATACCCGGTGGGGAAGTAAGAAGCTAGGATTCTAGTCCTGGCCAACAGCTGCACAAACCTGAGACCTGGCATTTCAGGTCTCTGGCGTAGGCTCCCTTATTTTTACACTTAGCAGATTGTTCTTTCATCAGGATGGGGAATATATATGACCCAGGAGTTATTTGGAGGGCTTTTGCCAACAACCAAAACCCTTCTGTTAATTAAGAACTGCTATTCCAGTGCCATAGTAAGTCATATCATGGCTGGGTGTGTTGAGGCAGGAAGAAGGCTGCACACTCCTGTTCTAAGTAACGCCAGATACTCTCTTCTGCTCTCAACATAAGGGAAGTGGGCCTGGACATAGTGAAGGCGGCTTTTCACTGATTGCAAAACTCAGAAAAATATGAGAGTCCTTCGTGAGAGGACTTAGTAGTCGAAGACCCATTTTATCTCACCCTCATGAGAGTCAGTATGAAGGGAGACTTTGAGACTTCCTTGGAAGAATGGCTGTTGGTTTTAACCTTTTCAGATTGACTTTATTGCCAGGGAGATGGGGTGAGCCTCTTCATGGAGGGCACAGGGGAGATTGCTTGTGCGATACCTGGACTTGGGGTGAGGGTCTCCCATGTGCTTTTTCACAGACAGGTGCAGTTCAGGAGCAGATGAGATCCAAGGGAAACCGAGACAGGCCATGGAGCAATTCTAGGGGATTGTAGCTCCAACAGAAACGGTGAGTGAGTAGAGAAACCTGTTCAGTACCTCCAGCCCCTGTCAGCATCCTGATGCCTTACCTCGGAACCCTGATCTCTGCCAGAATGGGAGGTGAGAGGAGGAAGAATGAATAAGAATGGAGGGGTCAAGAATTTTGGATGTAGAAAGGCAGAGAGAGAGGGAGGTGCAGACAGAAATCGAGAGAAGAGCACCCTGGAAATAGTGTAGAGTCTGTGCTAGGTGGTGCCTTCTCCCTGACTGCTTCAGTTTTCCTTGAGGCTTATCTTCCTTCAATTTCTTTTATAATCAGGTTCTGCTGTTTGAAGCCTCTGCTCCGTGTCCAGCCCAGAAGAGATGGTGCCCCCTCCTCGAACCAGTGACCCCAGGGCCCCTCTTTTCCCTTTTTGCCTATTAGTGCCTCAGAAGGCTTGGGGGCTGGACTCCCTCTCTTCCCTCTGGCTCTAGCCCCTCCTGGAGATGGGCTCAAGGCAGCAGGACTGACCAAGTGACTACTGGTTGGCCAGAGGAGCTCAGCTGAAGCCCTGGACACTCTCAGATCTGAGATAGGAGTTTTCTGGGAACCTGGAAGGTGTTCCCTTCTCCTGAATGACGGTCTAGGAGCCATCTGTTTTTAAACTCTTAACCTGGAACTCCTTAAATGGGGTAGGTGGGTGAGATTACCAAAGCTGAAGCCGGCTTTGCTGAGAAGCTCCTTACCTCCCTGCCCTTCTCCATTTTCCTCCTGGAATGAACTGAAACAGACGTCAAGCAGGGGGTCGGAGGGTGACCACTGCCTAGTCTATCTATTCTTTCTCTTTAGGTCCCAAAACTTAAGCTCGATTTCTCTCTGCCACTACCAGCTCTTTCTCTAGGAGGCCTCTAACCCTGTTTCTGCAGCATTGTGAGTTCTCCAACATCTTTCTTTTTAAATTAAAAGTTTAATTTAAGATGAGTTCTCTTAATTACCCCCCTCCTTCTACTACCTCTGCCTTCAGTCCTACCCCCGTTAGGAACCTTATTATTTCCCACTGAATGAAAGCTAAGGTAAGAAGTGGGTCTTAACCTGATGGGATCCCATTTAAGTCTTGGGGACCTGGCCTGCCCTCTGCCAATCTCCCTGCTGGCTCAGGTGAGGAGGAAGAGGGATCTGGAGAGAAACTCAGAATGCTGCAAAACTAAGAGGTATGTCTGAGAATGTACATCCTAACCGTTGAGGATGAGAGGCGTGGTAGGTTAAAAACAATCTGTGAGGTTAGGGATGTTAGATCCTCACCGCATGGGAGCAGGGAAACCTCCAGAGCAAGGATTCTCAACCTAGGCACTTCTGACATTTGGTTGGATAATTCTTTGTAATGAGGGACTGTCCTGCGCATTATAGGACATTCAGTAGGGTGTCTGTCCTAGTTATGACAGCCAAAAATGCCCCCTGGTATTGCCAAATGTCTCTTAGGAGGCAAAATCACCCCTAAGTGAGAACCACTGCTCGAGAGTCAAGGTATTTTTCTCCAAAGTGTTTTCCCCACCCTACTCTCATCCCATCATTCACCCTAAGCCTGAGCGACAGATGAACCAGGCCCTCTTGCAAAGTAGGCTTACTAGGGCCGCACACAATATCGAAAACAGCCCTTTATTCAGTGTGTTGCTTGTGCTTTGCATGGGTTCGTGTCTCTGGTGGATTGTAGTCTTCTCCATTCTTCTTTGGAGGAGGGATTCCTGAAGTGTGGAGGCATGAACTGAGCATGGTGAGACTGGGAAAGGGAGGGAGGAAAAAGGAGAGCCATAGACACCCAGGTTTATCCTCTACAAACTTTAAGCTCCATTTCTGTGCCCTAGTCCTAGAACCAGACACAAATAAGACTCAGGGAGTTTTGTCTGAAGACCAGGTCCCACTCCCCACCTGGCTGAAGAGTCTGTGTTAGGTGGGAAAATATTGCAGGAGGAGGGTCTTTAGGCAGTTTGTTTTCTCAGGTGTTTTTTTTCTTTTGGCCCCTTCCCTCAGGGTGGTTAGAAAGGCAGAACGAGACCGGTGAGCTCTTCCGGCTCTTGACTGAGAGGATGGGGGTCTCTCATTAGCTCAGCAACAAGAAGCATCTTATTTGATGGTGAAGGTGTCAGGAAGGTGGGAACTAGGATACACTCTGCTGAGTCCACCATCCATCCAGTTTGCCCTACCTATAGTGACAGGTTCTGATTTTGTTCCAATTCTAGTGTATTTCCTGCCACTTTTCAGGGTCTAAGATTGGTCATACATTCCCAATTTACTTGGCAGGAAATTAGCTGGCAGGAAATTAGCTGGATTAGCTACATAATCCCAGTGTAGCTAGTTGTTCTGAAAGTAGCTCATAGATTGTCCTAAAGTAGCTTAATAGCCTGAGGGTTATATTCAGTCTGAAGGGGTCATAGGGGAGAAGGATGGGGGACTCATGGACTCTCTGGTCACCACGATCTACCGCCTTATCCTAATGCCTCTTCTTTGGCCACAGTCTTCTTTGGTATTCTCTTGCCTTTAGCTACCTTTTCTAACGTGTATGCTACCATCACTTGAACTGTATTTAAGAGTGATGGCAACGGGTTTGAGAGTCATAATTTATATTAAAAATGTGTTGGACTTTTAAATACATTTTTCAAATAAAAAATGTTTTAAGCAAAGTAGTCGCAGAGTATTCACTACAGGCATGTTTGGGGTCAAAGGATAAATACAGTTGATGAAGGTAACTGCTAAAAAGTAGCTGACGTGGAATTCTGTGCCATCTTCGCCCTTTACAAGGACAGAAGGCCAAGTATTGTGAAGGCAAGGAGAAGACCACCAATATCTTCCAAGGGCTCAACTCCTTATTCTTCCTGTTCCCTCCTCTTGGCATTCATCTGAGATTTTTCAAGTCTTTAAACAATCACTTGTTTAAAAATGACTTTGGAAATGAAGCAGAGGAGGAACATCAACATTATGGAGGGGGGTATAAAATATGCTGGGGCACAAGGGGAGGGATCAGGCCCAGTGCTACTGGTTACACAGTTCAGTTTTAAGGTTCAAGAGATTTCTGGTCTCCACCTCAGATATCTCTGTAAAAAGACACAAGACCAAACAATTTTTTTTTCTAGTTTTGTTTTTCTGTACTAAAAATATCCAGTGGGTACTGGGATCAAAAAGGGTGGAAAGGTTGAGATGCTGAAACCTCTTGCAGATGAAGTGGCCATTACCTGCGGTTTTTCTCTAGCTGGGTGAGGAAACAAAATAGAGAAAAAGAGAAAATATTACAACTATATCTATATTCTTTTCCCTTCCTTGCTTCGTCTCCATCCCCAGAAGCCCTCATTCCCTCAACACCACTGCCCCGTTTGTGCTACCTTTTTATACTGAATTAACGGTATTGAATACCCACGGAGAAAGATAAAAACTAGCAAAATGACAGGCCACGTGTACTACTTTATTGTCCTTCTCCCCAAAGTTCCTGAAACCCTGTCAACTGAGAATTTTTTATCCAATCAGAGCCTTTGGTAATTCATTTGGTAAAGGCAGAGGACTATCCTTCCTGAAGAATTCTGAAATTGCTGGAAATAATCCCAGGAGTCCTTTGGGATAGTGGTGGTCAGGGGCATCAGCATTAGTGTCAAACAATCCTGTTGTGACTGTCATTTACTAGCTTTGTAAACCCCCATTCCTTCTATGAAATGGGGATAATTACACCTCACAGCATTGTGAGGATTGATCCAGGTAAAGCGTACATAGTAAGTCCTCAAATACTGGCTGTTGTTACTATTAAACTACTAATAAGCTGAGAACTATTAATATCTTCCATATCTATGATCGGCTTCAAGAATTGTTGATACAGCTATAATTCTCATGATTTGGGCCATAATCCTCCCATGACCAGTAGTACATGTTGCCCATTAACCAACCCGCAGTTGCTCAAGAAACAGATGGAATCAGCAGCCAACGATGTGAGTAACCAGCATATTACACATCAGCGGGGAAACTAGGTAAGTAACACTTCATGCAAACACTTACTGGTTCCATCTCTGTGAACACTGCAGACAGACTGTTCCAAATATCCTCCAGCCCGATCCTGACCCGTCTCCAAAAAGCAAGGGCTGGACTGGGGCTGGGGCTGGGGCCAAAGAAGAGGAAGGGCGTAGGTCTGATTCTAGAGCTGAGACGGGGTGGGGGAGTGGTGGTAGTAGTGGTGGTGGTAGTACTGGTGGTGGTCTGAGTGGTACAGCTGGTGTCAGAGCAGAGACTGGAGTCCAGAGGGCACTCCTCCCGAAGCCGGTTGCACGGACATTTCTCATAGGTACATGGCCGATGCTCTGTACGGAGTTGGTTCAGTGCCCCAACTCGAAGGCGCCCGGAAAGGCCCTGCAGCTTCCCAGACCGGGTCCGACTCATGGTGCCTGACTGGCAGTGGCAATGCCACGGGCCCCAGGGCATCAGCACCAGCCGCAGATCCTCGGGAGGGGGCATGGCCGAGTGTGAGAGCTGCTGCCACCGGTTTGGGGTGGACCCGGCCATGGACCACTGGCTCATGGTACTGTCGGGGTGCTGTATTTCCCCCCCAGTAGGCTGCCAGGTGTTGGCTGGCACGTCTGAAGACATCCTGATCTCCCCCTCCTGGGTATTTGCTTTAAACTTCGAGCTGGGCACCCTCGCTGTATTGTAACCCCTGCTGAAAGACGCTGCAGTGATGTTATTCTTTCTGGCGTTAATCACAACCCCCTCTTCCAAAGACTCATCCTCCTCGGCCGACGACACAATCGACTTGCTGACGCCTGTGGCCACCGTGGAGGCCAAGAGCTCCGCAGCAGCCGGGCCTGCTAGGCGCTCGACAGTGGCTCCGACGTCATCCTCATCCTCCATTGTTACCTTCATCCTCCTGGGGCCACCGGTCCGGAGGGTGGTCCGGTAGTGGCGGGACATAGGGACCCCGAAGCGGAAACTGACCCGCTGGGTCTCGGTGGAAGTCAGGCCTTGGGCCCCCGCCGCCCGGGGCCCCAGACTCAGCAGCAGGGCCCAGAGCAGCGTGCCGGCGGCGGGGACCATGGGGCCGGCCGGTGTGCGGCTGAGAGGGAGGCCAGCGAGGGAGGCCGGGACTCCTACCTTCTCTCCCTCCCTTCCGCTCGCGACCCAGCGGGTCGTTTGAACCGCGGCCTGCGGATGGGGAGGGAAGAGGGGGCCTCGTATGCGCGCGCCACGCCCCTCCCCCGGGCCCTCGCGGAGCTGCCCCTACCTAGGGCTGAGATCAAAAACCGAGGAACCACGGCGGCCAGAACGCAGCGCCAGAACCGACCTACGCATTGTGATGCTACGGGCCTGGGCAAGTAGGGCACTTCCTCGGAGCCAGGCTTAAACCTCGCATCGCAGTTTATTAACCGCTACGGATCGGAATTTACTAAAGAGGACAAAAGTACAAGTTTTGAAAGCACTCCTTCCCCGACCCACAGGCAACAGCTGTGACAAAGAAGGGAGCTGCAGTTCTTCCAGGTTTAGGGAGCTGACTCCTGGTTCCCAGCAGGCTGCGCGGTGAGTTAAGCCCTGCCCTCCCCTCCACCTCTCACTGAGCTTCACAGACTGCTAGCATGCCCCGGGTGGAAAGGGTCTCAGCACCTTCACTTACAGGGGAGGAAAAGGACACTCAGAGAAATGCGGTTATATTTGCCCAAGGTTCTGCAGCTGAAGCAGGACCAAACCCCGCAGCCTTCCCCATTCCCCTACAAGATGCTACTACATGCACCCCTATAGCTGAACTGATGATCACTGGGCAAATGAGGTTCCAGACTTGGAGCCCTGCTTTGAAGGCACGGTCATGAGAGGAATGAGACCCCAGGGAAATGTGAAGGTCCTGTGGTACTGGGGTTGAGGAGGAGGTGGTTTAGGGAACAGCCCAGATGTTTCAGGGTTAGAGCATAGGCAGATTAATCTTTGCTTGGTTCTAAGGCCCTTGATTCTTTTCTTCCTCTAGGTCCCTCGTGAGCCATGGAGCTCCTGGTCCAGCCTAGGAGAGAAAAACAAAAAAGTAGGACCTGGGTTTTACTCACTGGTTTGGGGACAGAAGCCAGAGAATTGGAAGAGTCAAAAGACTGGGTGCTTGAACTGGTGGTCGTCAGGTTCCTTTGTCCCCTAGGCCCTCCCCACTGGGTATTTTCTCCGCTTTGCTGCCCTTCTTGACTTCTTAACTTCTACGACTAAGTTCTGTGCTGTGAATATTCCTTTATTCTCTGATGCCTCAGCACTTATACGTATAGTTGTTTTGTTTTTTTTTCCCTTTGTTCTTGTTGGATGCAGGCCTTAATTTCTTCTCTGGGTGGGCACAGTTTTCCCAGATACAACGAAGCATCTAGAAGCAGGGCCTCTATCTTTTAGTTCCTCTGCATCTCCCCCAAGGCATTAAGAAAGCTGGAACTGGCTTTATACATCCCACCCCAAACTTTTCTCCTCAAGCTCGGGACTCACTGTCTGACAGCTTCAGGGATGTGAACCTGATCCAAGGAGATGAGTTGGGCCAGCTCTCCCAGGCTGTTCAGAAAACGGATCTTTCTTGTAAACTTGGAACTGAAAAGAGAGGAGGATAAACCAGGTTGTGTGTTGTACTGGGAAGAGGGTTCCTGGAGACCCTTACAAAGGGCAATGTAACAAGCAGAGCGTGGTTAAGGCTAGAAAGAGCCAGGCTGGGGAAAAATCTTCTTCATCTTGATTTTGAAAATGGGGGAGAAGACATCCTTGTCCTCAGAGCTGGTACCTGATGAAGGGCCGCAGCAGTGCCAGGAATGCCTTCACGTACCAGGTGGCATGGACAACCACCAGGGCGCGCAGGTTCTTCCGGAGCCTGAAGAATAGGAAAGAGATCATACTACTCTTCTTCTACCTTCATGCTGGAAGAGCAGGTGGGGCTATGTTCTGTGCTTTAACTTCCTTCACGTCTGCAGTTTCTAGATTTCTCTGGCAGTGGGGTCTAGTGCCCCCTCCTTGGCCTGTAATCTGAGCTCCACCCATTGTGTTTAGCCCTTTGTGCTCCTCATTTTTAGGCATTCCTCTTGTCAGAATCTTTCTGCCCCATCTCCCTCCTGTGCCCTACCCTCATAGAAATTCTTGGCTACTCCCCTTTTCCCATGCCTCCCAGGACCAGGACACCAAAAACAAAAAAGAAATGAGCTAGAAAAGTAAGCAAAGGGAAGATGGGGGAAAGAAAAAGGGAAAAGGAACATCTCGGGGAACAAAGCCATATGGGTCAGGTATGGAAGGTCGACAGAAGCAGAAAATGGCAGCCTGGGCAGTAAACTAATTGGTGAGACGGGGAGAAAAGGAAGGGGTATGCCACCTCGATTTATTGGATTTTCACACATGGCCAGTGGCAAAGCTATTATCATTGCCATTATGCAGAGAAGAAAACCAAGTCCCAGGGAAGTTAAGTGACTTGTCCAAGGTAAATGATACAGCAGGTAAATGATAGAGACAAGATCTGAAACCAGGTTTCCCTGACTCTGAGAGTACAGAAGATGGGAGAGGCCTGGAAAGGGTTGGAGAGAGACAAGGAAAAGAGGAAGGGACTAATAGAACAGGAAAGAACGGAAAGAGGGAAAGACAAGGCGTAGTGGGAGTTGTGGCCCTCCTGCCCTCGTGGCTCACCGCCGGTCCAGAGCGCGGTAACACTGGCGCATCCAGCCCAGAGGTGGGACCTGGGCCCTACTCGTGCCTCCACTCAAGTGAACAAGCAGGTAATTTTCAGCGACCAGTAGCTCCAGAGTTCCCACCATATACCTGGGGGGCCGGGAGGGGACACAACTGTCAGGGAAGGTACATGCTTGGGGTTTGGGGAGCGAGAGGGACAAGCAGGGGGAGCAGCAGAGGGAGAGGGAGAAGCAGGATCTCCCCCAAGCAGGGAGCCCAACGAGGTGAGGCTTGATCCCAGGGCCCCAGGATCAGGACCCGAGCCAAAGGCAGACACTCAACCAACTGAGCCATCCAGGCATCCCAGGGGGTTCTTTTTCACTTTTCCCTCCTTAACATCCCCCCTGGAGCCCTTCAGGCCTTCCACCTCACCTGAACAAGTGTTCCATGACATAGGTGTAGTTGGGGATGCTGCTGCTGGGTAGGTAACAGGAAGAGAAGACGATAATGGCGTTGAGGCCATCACCATGGTAACCTGGAGAGGACAGAGGGAAAATTCATTCAGTCAACAACTAAGTATGACAGACAGTACATCTTTTTAGCTTGAAGGACTCTGAGGATTTTAAACCCAAGGACTGAGTTTCCAACTTCGGTATTCTATTCAGGAAGTCGCAGGTCTTTCCCGGCCACATATCTGAGCAATTACCTCCATGAGAGAGGACTTTCTTATAGAGCTCAATGACAGTCATGTCCACTCTCTGCTCCCGCTGTCCTGTCCGGAACACCCTCCAGTGACGACCATCTTCTCCAGCCATATCCCACACACAACCCTGGCCCAGCCTTTCCGCTGCCTCACTGGCCCCCAGACCCTCTGCCCGGGGCAGGTCATCTGAAAGAGAGGGATGGGGAAGGGTCAGTAAGGCATAGTACAGACCTTCAGTATCTTCTAACTTCCCCAGGTTTCTAGAGTGGATTGCTCTAACCTCTCATTCCTCAGTTTTTTTCTAGGATTCCAGCGCTAGTTTGTCCAGTGCCTTGCTGGTTTCTCTTTCCTCTGACTCACAATCCTCACTTTTTCACTAGACACCGGCCTTGAGGTAACCCTGCACTATGGTAGGTCCATGACCCTTGCCAGGATTAGTTTTCTTCTAGATTCTTCCTTACTTTTTGTGTCTTTCCTTGGGTGAACTCCTCTGTTCCCGTGTCTTCAATAACCACCAGTAAGCTGATGATTCCAAATTTGCCCCTCTAACCCATGTCCCTAAATGCTTAGAGTGGACACCTTTAGTTTGTGTCTTTCTGTCATCTCCAAGCCACTAGACCCAAGTGTAATTCAAACTCCTTCTCTTCCTCCTCTCTCCCATATTTCCTTTCTGGATGAATGACTCCATCCATCTAGGTGGCTGAGAGAGAAAACTGATATTATCAAAGATTTTCTTCTCTGTCAGCCAACGACTCCAGATCTTCTTCTATATTATCTTCACTATATTCTCTTATCATTCTCTCTACTACTACTGTCCTGATTCAGGTTCTTAGCATGTCTCATCTGGCCTTAGTGCTAGCCTCCTAACTGGTTTCCATGTCTCTAGTCTGTTTACTCCATTTCACCCTCTATCCCACAGCTAGAGCAAGCTTTGTTTTCTACCCTACCTTTCTTACTCAAATGGCAATATACCATACCCACTAATTCTGCATGATCCTTCCATAGCAATGGAAACAGCTGCCTCATCTTAAAAAATTGTTGTCTGTTTGGCTCAGTTGGTGGAGCATGTGACACTGACCCTTGATGGTGGGGTCGTGAGTTTGAGCCCCATGTTGGGTGTAGAGATCACTTAAAAAATAAAAATCTTAAAAAAAAAAAAAAGTATTCCAAGGGCACCTGGGTGGCTCAGTGGGTTAAAGCCTCTGCCTTTGGTTCAGGTCATAATCTCAGGGTCCTGGGATTGAGCCCTGCATCAGGGCTCTCTGCTCAGCAGGGAGCCAGCCTGTTTTCCCTTCTCTCTCTGCCTGCCTCTCTGCCTACTTGTGATCTCTTTCTGTCAAATAAATAAATAAAATCTTAAAAAAAAAAAGTATTCTATAACATGGATACACCATGTAAGAATTAATACTCTACTGACAGACCTTTTGGTTATTTCCAACCTCTTTAGAGCCATTAAATCTGATCATGTTACTCCCTTGATCAAAACCATTCAGTGGCTACCCTACGACTCAACAACTGCACTACTGGGTATTTACCCCAAAGATACAAATGTAGTGATCCAAAGGGGCACCTGCACCCCAGTGTTTTTAATAGCAATGTCCACAATAGCCAAACTATGAAAAGTGCCCAGATGTTCATCAACAGATGAATGGATAAAGAAGATGTGGTGTATATGTACCAGCCACCAAAAAACAAAAAAACAAAACAAAAGAAACCCTGCCATTTGCAATAA